GGGAGGGAGGGGACGGGAAGGGAGAAGAGAAGAGAAGAGAAGAGAAGAGAAGAGAAGAGAAGAGAAGAGAAGAGAAGAGAAGAGAAGAGAAGAATCCCAACTGGCCAAGTATGATCGGACACACAAGGACTTTGTCTCCGGTGTATAAATTCTCAGTGTGCATACAAGCAACAAGTGGCAAATCATATCATCATCATGAAATAAATCATCATAATCATAAGATACAACACTCAGCGATAGTCATAGGATACTAAATAAGCATAGAATCAAAGTTATGGACTTTGTTATAGAATCAAAGTCTAGAATCAAAGTTATTTTATCCCTGGAAAACAAAATAGCAGGATCACTTCAGGAACCGTGGCCAGACTGACTTCCAGGTATAGTAAGCCTGTCTAACCATCTTCCAAAGCTGGCCTTCTCCCAGCATGTTGGTGTCAACCCTGAAGCTGAGTTGACCAACAGAGTTCTGTTTGCTATGGGTGTATTACTTGGAACCCTGACACTTGGACTACAACTCCCATTACCCCCACAGACTCCCTCCTCTTCTTCCTCCTCCACTTCGCACATCCCTCCTCCCTTCAAGCACTGATGACGTTACCTAGTTGGGTAATGAAATGTCTGCAAGAAAACAGCCAAGATCAGAGAGCACCAATGAGCCCACAGTCTTTTGGACTTTCCTCCGTGACAACCAGTTGTGTGAGTACCTGAAGGACAATTCCTTTTAAAATGTGGGTTTGTTACACCGCTTCCTCTTGCAAAGGGGGTGACATTTATGATTTAACTCTGCTAAGTGGGGTGGAAAAAAACCTCTCCACCGTTCAGAGCTAATCTCCTCCCGGAGTTAATCTTCTTAACTTTGAAAGTGGCAGATCTTTAGGGTACTTTAAAGTCACCTGCTGTTGGAAATATGACTGAAATCAGCAAAATCTGGCCAAGACTCAGGCATTTATCTTGGCTGCAAATCAAGGGATTTGAGCTCTATCCATCTTCCTGCTGGTTCGGAGTCCTGAAGAGAGGCACAGGGGAGGAAAATGCGTTTAAAATTCTGGAAATGAGGTTGCAATGTTCAACAGCACTTGCCTTGACTGACCGAGGTCACGGCGTTGGACCAAATGCAGGGAAAATCAGAAGGGGAAAAAAAAAATTAGGAGGAAAAGAGAGGTAAGACAAATGGCCTTCCATAATAAAACAGAGGACAACTTCCTAGCTCAGACCAAGAGTCACAACGCTACAAACTGGAAGTGGTTGGACAAACGGAATGACTTTCCATGTGCAAGGACCATCCATTTCCTAAGATTGGCCCTTTGAAGGAGAAAGTGAGAAATGGAACAGAAATAGAATTCTTTATTGGCCAAGTGTGATCAGACACACAAGGAATTTGTCTGTGGTGCATAAGCTCTCAGTGTACATAAAAGCTGTAAGTGATAAATCATGACCATAGTCATCATAAAAAATACATTCATCTAATTCCTAAGATACAACACTGAGTGATAGTCCTAGGATACTAAATAAGACATCAACATAAATCGTTTTATTTAGGAAACTAAATAAAACAATATTTATTTTTATTTATTTTATTATTCATATTTCTATGCCGCCCACTCTCCGAGGACTCTGGGCGGCTTACACCAAAGACAGTATACTAAATAGCATATTGCCCCCAACAATCTGCGTCCTCATTTTACCCACCTCGGAAGGATGGAAGGCTGAGTCAACCTTGAGCCGGTGAGATTTGATCCGCTGATCTGCTGAACTAGCGGTCAGCTGAAGTAGCTGCAGTACTGCACCCTAACCACTGCGCCACCTCGCATTATAAATCGTAAAGATACAAGCAACAAAATTATAGTCATAAGTAGAATAGAATAGAATAGAATAGAATAGAATAGAATAGAATAGAATAGAATAGAATAGAATAGAATTCTTTATTGGCCAAGTGTGATTGGACACACAAGGAATTTGTCTTTGGTGCATAGACTCTTGGTGTGCATAAAAGAAAAGATATGTTCATCAAGAATCATAAGGTACAACGCTTAATGATAATCATAGGGAACAAATAAGCAATCAAAATCAGTGGTGAAATCCAATATTTTTTACTACCAGTTCTGTGGGTGTGGCTTGGTAGGCATGGTGGGGCTTGGTGGGCGTGGCAAGGGAAGGATACTGCAAAATCCCCATTCCCTCCCCACTCCTGGGGGAAAGATATTGCAAAATCTCCATTCCCTCCCTACTCTGTGGCCAGCCAGAGGTGGTATTTGCCGGTTTTCTGAACTGCTCAAAATTTCCGCTACCGGTTCTCCAGAACCTGTCAGAACCTGCTGGATTTCACCCCTGAATCAAATCATATTAGGAAACAGTCAATATAAATCTTAAGGATACCAGCAACAAGGTTACAGTCATACAGTCATAAGTGGGAAAAGATGGGTGATAGGAAGGATGAGAAGAGGAATAGTAATGCAGACTTAGTGGATAGTTTGACAGTGTTGTGGGAATTAGTTGTTTACAGAGTGATGGCATGCAGGAAAAAAACTGTCCTTGTGTCTAGTTGTTCTGGTGTGCAGTGCTCTATAACAGGGGTGTCAAACTCAATGCGGGGTGCTTAGATCTGGCCCGCAGGGCTGTCCTAGAAACAGCAAAGGACTTGTCCGCGGTGCCTGTACCAGCTCCGTTTTCAATGGCAGAGGGTTGCAGGAAGCCAACACAGCCGAAAACGGAGCAAGTGAGGACTACGGGTGGCCCTCCCGAGCTCGATTTTCACTGGTAGAGGGTTGCAGGACACCGTCGCAGCCAAAAATGGAGCTTGGGAGCCCGTTTTCGCTGGCATAGCACTCAGATTGCCACATCACTCCCGACACGAGTGATGTCGAGCTGGCCACGGCCGTGCCAAAGTAAATCAATGTACTTTGATTGTAAACACAGATGAAAAATACAAAAAAGGGAAAAATCAACAAGTGACATGAAAAAGAAAACAAACACCGCAAAAACATGCGTTGCTTAGAACAAAACACATCATTTCTGAAAGGCAACATTAAACTTGATTGAGCCTAATAATAATTAATAAACCTTTCTGCTTCGTTGCCAGTTCAAAAGTAAACAGCAAACGCAGACTGCAGATGTCCAGTTTTTTTTCCTAAAAATTAATCCTTCTTAGTTCCTTTGATCAGTAAAGATTATACTTAATCTGCTACAAAACCTCTCTAAGTTAGCTATTTTTTTCTCCAAAGTCTTTCCTCTCCAATTTTCAGCTTCTAGGAGTCAACAGGTGAAAAATCCGGAAAGGGAATCTTCATCTCTGGAAGTTGTCCAAGTTAGGAAGAACTCAGCTAGGTCTTGCAACCAATTTTGGTCTGTTCTGCTTGGCAACGTATATGACCGTCTTAAAAGTGATTATTCCCATAATGATGGGGGGAAAGACCAAAAGGAGGCTGGGAGGCCCTTAAGAACATCCATACATCCCATTAATTTATTTAACCTCAGTTTCCATTTGAGGAAATCACAGGGTACGAGCAGCAATTAACGGTTCAGTTACAAGGAAATGATGTTTATGGTTAGAATGGACTTTAGTCATGGATACCCAAAGATCATTTGGATAAGCAATGGTGGAAACTAATTAAGGAGAGAAGCAACCTAGAACTAAGGAGGAATTTCCTGACAGTGAGAACAATTAACCAGTGGAACAACCTGCCTCCAGAAGTTGTGAATGCTCCAACACTGGAAGTTTTCAAGATGACAGTGGACAGCCATTTGCCTGGAATGGTAGGATGTTTGGACAGGGGGTTGGACTAGAAGACCTCCAAGGTCCCTTCCCATCCTATTATTCTATTCTATTTGCAACCTTCCCAGTTGCCTCTTGATGGAAAGGTGGAGCATAAATGGACTAAAGAAAGAAAGAAAGAGGAGACCTCAATTTCCACGCTAAACATACAGAAGTAATTCATTTCAATAGCTTCACTTCTAACTAGTTCATCCTTCTGTTCTGGAGAAAAGAGGGGGGGGGGAAAGAGCCTTGGTAGTACAGTGGTCTAAGGCACCCTGTTATTAAGCTGGTTATTAAGACCAGCTGCCTGCAATTACTGCATGTTCAAATCTCGCCAAGGCTCAAGGTTGACTCAGCCTCCCATCCTTTCTAAGGTAGGTAAATTGAGGACCCAGTTTGTGGGGGCAATAAGCTGACTTTGTATAAATATACAAAAGTATGAAGGCTATTGCTGAGCACATTGTAAGCTGCCCTGAGTCTCCGGAGAAGGGCGGCATATAAATCAAATAAAAAAAAAAAAAGAGGGAAAAGGGAAAGAGGGAAAATGGAGGGAAAGAGAGAAAAGACAAGGGAAAGAGAAAGAGAGAAATTAAAAGAAAAAGAGAGAAAAGAAGGGAAGGGGAAAAAGAGGGAAAAGGGAAAGACAGAAAGGGGAGGAAGGAAAGGAAAAGAGAGAAAGGGGAAAACGGAAAGAGGAGGGAAAGAGAGAAAGGAAAAGAGAGAAAAGACAAGAGAAAGAGAGGGAAAAGGGAAAGAGAGAAATTAAAAGGAAAAGAGAGAAAAGAAGGGAAGGGGAAAAAGAGGGGAAAAGGAAAGACAGAAAGGGGAAGAAAGAAAGGGAAAGAGAGAAAGGGAAAACAGAAAGAGGAGGGAAAGAGAGAAAGGGATAGGGGAAGAAAGAAAAACAAGGGAAAGAAAAATGAGGGGAAAGGGAAAGACAGAAAGGGAAGAGAGAAAGGGAAAGAAAGGAGGAAAAAAGAGAAAGGGAAAGGGAGAAAAGGAAAGACAAAAAGGGAAAGAAAGGAGAGAAAGCTAGAAAAGACAAGAGGAAGAGGAAGAGGGGGGAAAAGGGGGAAAGAGGGAAAGAAAGGAGGGAAAGGGAGAAAAGCCCAGGAGAAAAAGAGAGGGAAAGAGGGGAAAGGACCTGGCGGCTTCCCAAGGCGCGTCCTCGCTTCTTGCCGGGGCCGCGGAGCGAGTCAACTCCCCGGAAAAGCCGGGGCGGAGGCTCTTCCTTGCGTCAGCTGACCGGAGCCAGCAGAGAGCGGGGCGAGGATTCCCAGGCCGGCCGCTCCACCGCGCCCTCCTTTGCGCTCTCCTGTTTGCGCTTTTACGCACCAGCCGGGCCGCCTTGGCACCCAACAGCCGCTGCCCGGCCGGGCCCTGCAGCGGGGGCCCCTGAGCCACTGAGCCGGGGGAAGAGCCCGCTTGGAGCCGCCGCCCCGGGGAAGCCCGCCCCGGAGCTCCTGCCCGTCCGAATGGGCCACTAAGCGGGGTCTCTTTCCTTTCCCTCTCCGGCTCTGGAAAGGCTTCCTCTGCGCCCCGTTTCTTGCAGCCGCTTTTGCAAAAGGTAAGGAAGGTTGGGGAAGGGCCTGGCCCGATCCAAGCAAGGAGCTGCGCACCCGGAGACTGCGCTCAGCCCTTGGCCAGTGCTTGCAATGTTCCTCTCCTTTGCATGCAGGGGGTCCTCGACTTGCAACAGGCTTGCTTTGCGGAATCGGTTGGCCCACAAGATAGATATATATAGGGGAGGAGCTTGGATTTCTCCAAAGTGAAGACAACACAGGTAAATTCTGGACTTCGTTTAGTGACTGTTTGCAATTACAGCGACCGGTTTTTTCCACACTTACGACCTTTGCAGCGTTCCCCACGGTCACGCCATCAAAATTTGGCTGCAACGGATTCATATTTATGACCTTTGTTGTGTCCCCGGGGTCACGCACAGTCCCCTTTTGCGACCTGACAAAGCAAAGTCAGTGAAGAAGACAGGTTCGCTTAATAACCGGGTTACTAACTTATCAGTGGCAGCGATTCGCTTAACAACGGTGGGCAGAAAAGTCATAAAACGGGGCAAAACTCACATCACAACAGAAATGCTGGGCCCAATTGTGATTGTAAGTCAAGGATTATACCGAGATTCAGTTTCAGCGAGAGGCCTTTCCTGGCCCTGCCACCACAGAGATCAATAAACAGAATAACAAAGAGCGGGAAGGGACCTCGGAGGTCTTGTAGCCCAACCCCCTGCTTAAGCAGAAGGCCCTCTGCCATTTTGTCCAGTCTCTTCTTAAAAACCTCCAGTGATGGAGCATTCACAACTTCTGGAGGCAAGATTTGGAGCAGGGCCCTTCCTGAAATGAGAACAGGTTTTATCCAAGCAGGAAAAGGGGTCTCTTATTGCTTTGGGGGAAATTGCTGTTTTCCCCCACTCCATCACATACTGGCATCACCGATTTACGTGCATGAATGCTCAGAGCTGGAGCACCCCAAATCATGGAAAGATCACCCTCTTTCCTACAAGTAGCAACAGGTAAACTGTAGGAACTTTTTTCCAAGCCATCTTTCTGCTCATGTGATTTTTCAGTTTGCAATTCAAGGGGCCTTCAGATTAGGCTCAAGGATAGAGCGATTACCAAATACGATAAAACTCCAAAAGTCTTTTTATAATCTCAGGAGTTTCTTGTGCTTCGCCAGCCAGTGCAAAGCAGCGTTTTTTCAAACTTGGAAAACTTTTAAGAGGGTGTGGACTTAAAACTCCCAGAATTCTTGAGGAAAGCTGGATAAGGTGTGTGTGGACTTCAGCATCCAGAATTGTCCTGCACGCTGGCCGAGGACTTCTGGGAGTTGAAATCCACGCCTCTTCAAACTGCCAAATTTTTTTGGTCGGGGGGAACTGTTTGTAGAGGAAGATGAAGACTTTAAAAGGGTAATCCGTCCTGGCCAAAACGGTTATTTTGCACAATAACTTTGCCAAAGCCTGAAATGCTGGGAAAGAGAAAAAATACCCAACATTTTGGTCCACTGAGAAATTTGTTTTAATAATGAGCGCAAGGTTTCTTATTCCTTAAAAATAGGAAGAAGGCATCTTAAGTTTCCATCCGCAGTTACATTAAATGTTATTTTCCTTTTGTTTGTGGTTAGTAAAACACTTGAGGGTGTTTATTACTAATTTGGTTACACATTTGAGCTTTTGTTACATTTCTTTTTTTTAAATTTGGATCCCTATTCTTAGTTAAGTTTTAGGCTGCTCTTTTCTGGATTGGCTTACTTGTTGGAAATAGCATAGAAGGGTTATATGATTTGAGGTTTTATCTTGAAGAAAAGTTGTGACTTCAGGTTTTTGAAAATATTTTGGCCCTTTAGAATGAGAGGGGAAAAGTTGAGTTAAAGACACACTGGCCTGTTTTAATTTTGCTCCAGGAGTCATGTTTTACCAAATGAAAATATTTTTTTAGGAAACTATAAAGTGTACTGTATATTAATAGAAACTGTAAAAGGCTTAGAGGCATTATTTTGTTTAATAGGCTTACTATAATGAACGTGGAATATGAGTGCTTTGATAATGACTAGTTGTAGTCACAGTGAACAAGAAAGTACTTCGTTTCTTGTTGGGATCCATAAATTATAACATGTTTTAATCACGAAGAGCATTTAATGATTTTGATTGTTAATTCAGCTAATTCTACTATCATCCCGATTTATTTCTGAGTTTCTTCAAAGAACTGTCCTGAAATAGATGTTTTTTCTAAGCTTTTTAATTTGAATTACATCTAATGATTGCAGAAGAGTTTAATATTGTTAAGAACTTCCGGTTGAGCAGAAAGCTCCTTTTTTTAAACAAATCATATTTAGAAAATTGGAATACATTCAAAGCATATATTCTAGAACCTGATAGATATTTGATGTTAGACTGGGAAAAAAAAAAGAATAATAAAGACATGTTCCAGTATTCTGTCTGGAGCTTTAAAACCAACTAATTTTAGATGATTTTAGAATGCTTCATTAAAAAGATATTTATACGTACCCTGTGGTAAGATGGGTGGCCAATAAATTTGACGAATATATTAACAAAAGAAAAAACCTTTTTAATGCAAACTCCATTAAACTTTTAACTCTTTGGGACTCTTGCAAGATATATGTTTGCTACAGCTAGGAAGAAACCTATCAATTTTAGTTTTATACATTTGGAAAAAAAATAGTTAAATATCTATCGCTGTTTTATGTCAGAAATCATATGGAGGAATCTTATAGACTAGAGCATGTATGTAAAGCTAAGGGAAAATTGGGGCAATTATATTATGAATACTGTAAGTACTTTTTTAAATGCACAGAAGAAAAATACTGTCAATTGGGTGTGAAAACTGTTGACTGAAGCAATCAAAATATCTGAATCTTATCTCTGGAATTCAGGCCAGAAACAGTCATATATTGCCATTGTATTCAGAGACACAGTCTATTAGTCACCAGGTTTTTATTTTTATGTTTATTCTCAAGTACTGCATATCAATCAGATTGAACTGCAAAACTGAATAACAGGTTTTTGGGGATGGAAATTCTCAAGTGTAATACATAAAAGCAATTTGGCATAACCATAGCTAATAACAAAAAAATAACAGATTTATAAAATGAAGGAAAGTTCCTAAAATCCCCATTGAATGTAAAATCCTTATAGGTTTATTAGCAGAAGTCATTAATGAGTTATTTAATCGTACTAAAAAAATTCCTTTTTCATTCTGTGAGGCTCCTAGTACCAGACCAAAATCAGAGGAAGATTCAGAGAAAGAATTATAGACCGATATTGATTGCTTAATGTGGATGCATAGATTCTGGATTCTGATTACAAAACATATTGCTATTTATAGTTTATCTAACTTGTCTGAAACAGACAGATCTCTGATAATATTTTAATAGTCATATAATTATATGAATATGATTTTAATGATTTGCTGTTTTGAAAATTGAAAATAGCTGTGCATAACTTATATCACTCAGGGGAAACACTTGTATAATTTTGGTGACCTCAGAAGCTTAATGGATTAAACCATAGTTTGAATTTAGATAGCAAACTCCATAACTTAAGTTAGATGGGAAGTTGCAGAAAGCATACAAAAAGCATTTTTTTTAAAAGTGTACAAAGGTTAAAATTGGAGAGTCTAGATGAGTTTTTCAAACTTGGCAATTTTAAGACGTGTAAACTTCAACTCCCACAATTCCCCAGTGGAGAATTCTTAAAATTGCCAAGTTTGAAAAACTGGTTTATCCAATTTTAATCCTCCCTTAAAAAAAAAAAAAAATCCCAGTGGGGAATTCTGGAAGTTGTAGTCCACGCGTTTTAAAATCACCCTGTTCTAGATCAGGGTCGTGTATTAAGATTGTTTTTCTTTTCTTTCTCTCCATTCCTTTTTATTTAAAAAAAAACTGAAGCTACAGGAGCCATGTCGAAGAAGCCTTTAAACATCCCTCTGGAAAACGGAAAGTCGGAGAAGACCGAAGTGGAGAATGGACACCCCAACCTGATGCCACCCACCCTCAGCACCTCCAGTGTGGAAGAGATGGTCCAACAGATGAAAGAACTCATCACGGAGAACAACGAGCTTAAAGGTGAACGTTCAGCATCGAACATTGGCGAGCAGGTCCTTCTCGGACCTCTATGTTCCACAGAGGATACCGCCTCTGGGTCTCTTCACCCTGTAGTAAGAATTACTACTAAACACTTAGGCTTAAGATGCCCTGGACTTACACGAGTCTAGTCCCTTTGATCTTTGGGGATATAGGCAAGTGATTAAATTCTAATTGTTTTCTATTTTCTATATTTTAATGAAGAGAAGGATCGGGTGACTCGATAGCAGTGGTCCAATATCTGGGGGGTTGCCACAAGGAGGAGGGGATCAACTTATTCTCCAAAGCACCTGAAGGCAGGACAAGAAGGAATGGCTTCCCCATGGCAGGGGAAGGATACTGCAAAATCTCCATTCCCACCCCACTCCAGGGGAAGGAAACTGCGAAATCCCCATTCCCTCCCCACTCCTGGGAGAAGGAAACTGCAAAATCCCCATTCCCATCCCACTCGGGGCCAGCCAGAGGTGGCATTTTCCGGTTTTCTGAACTACTCAAAATTTCCGCTACCGGTTCTCCAGAACCTGCTGGATTTCACCCCTGGTTAAGGCCCTCCTCAAAGTATTTCTTGCAATATTGGAGATGGTCAGTGCCAGTGGTGGTATTCATCCAGTTCGGACCGATTCGGGCGAACCTGTAGCGGGAACCGTGAGTGGGCCTGCTCACCCGGCCCAGCGCTATGCTGTCCTATTTAGTCACGTTTTCGAGGCCGGACGCCTCTGAGGAAGACACGCGCGGCGAACAGTTGTAAAAATATGTGAAACCCACCACTTCCCCCCCTCCCCAAAATTTTTCCTTGAACCCACGTTCAGTGTTTTTAGGGAACGGGTCATGCGAACACCTAACTGAGTATTTCTTGGGGTCAACCAGAAGCCATGAGGCAACGGAACCAAGCCATGAAGGACCGTTTCGAGGAGCTTTCCGCCTGGAAGGAGAAATTGAAAGACGAACGGGAATTTTACGAATCGAAATTCAAGGAAGCCCGGCAGTGTTTGGCAGCCAAGTGTCTGGAGAATGAAAGCCTCCACCAGAAGCTCCAAAGCCTGGAAGAAAAAGAAGAAAGGAGCACCACGGTAAGTGAAAAACAAGATTTTTGACTTTGTCTGGGGCCGAGAAGGAAGAGGGAGGGCTCCCAAATTGAAAAACCAGCCAGAAAAAAAAAACCGTTTACAGGTAGTCCTTGACTTACAACCACAACGGAGCCCAAAACTGATGACGCTGAGTGAAAAATTTGTTTAAGTGAGTTTTGCCCCGTTCTACGGCTTTTCTTGCCACCGTTATTAAGTAATAATAATAATAATAATAATTTTATTTCTATACCGCCCTTCTCCCGAAGGACTCAGGGCGGTATACAGCCTATTTAAAAACACATACAAAACAACAATTAAAATTTAAAATAATTAAATAAATTTGGCTCAGATTTAAACCCCAATACCCCAGTTTAAAACTATTATGTTGATAGTCCGGCCTGGTCCGGCAAGTGAATCACTTGCCATCGATAAGTTAGCAACCTGGTTGTTAAGTGAATCTGGCTTCCTCCTGTAGACTTTGCTTGTCAGAAGGTCGCAAAAGGGGGATCGCGTGACCCTGAGACGCTACGACCGTCATAAGTATGAATCGGTTGCTAAGTGCCTGAATTTTGATCACGGGAATGCTACAAGGTCGTAACTATGAAAAATGTTCCTAAGTCCCCTTTTTTCAGTGCCGTTTTCATTTAGTGACCGTTGTAACTTTGCACGGTCACTAAATGAAGCGTTGTAAGTCGAGGACTTTCTGTATTTATTGCCTTATGACGGTCGGACGGTTGGAACCTTTCACGGTTTGGCCTGTAACATCTCGGCCGCTCTGGAAGGCAAGTCACACCTGGGTTTCTTCTCCTAGGAGAGTCCCGTTTTGAGGAAGGAGATGACCCAAGAGGTGGAACAACTGAAGGCTCAGGTGGCCAAGCTGCAGGCCGAAAAGGCGGACCTGGTAGCCATCATCTCGGAGCTGCAGCTGAAGCTCAACGCGGCCGCGGCCGAAGACTCCTTCGTCGAGATCAGAATGCATGTAAGCGTCCTCCGATCCTCCCTCAAGAAGGATCCGGTCACTGGCGGGGAGTTTTCTCAATCTTATGTACAGATCTTCAAACCCAAAACCTGTTTAATGGGCATTATGAACTCAGACATCATCATCATCATTTAACGACCCCATAATCCTCTGCAGGGTGAAGTCTGGGCAACTGAATGGAGCTGAGTGTTTACTGGCCGGATGCCTTTCCTGTCGCCAATGCGGAGTTTTGTTCAGCAGATATATTCTCTAAAATTTTAAAAGAATTAAAATTTTATTGTACTAAGACCCAACTGGAAAATAAGCCCTAGCATGATTTTTCAGGATGCTCTTATTATAAGCCCTACCCCAAAAATAAGCCCCAGTTAAGATCGTCAGCCAGAACAAATACATTGAATACCATATTTCCCGGAAAATAAGACCTACCCGGAAAATAAGCCCTAATGCGTCTTTTGGAGCAAAAAATCAATATAAGACCTGGTCTTATTTTCGGGGAAACACAGTAATTATTAATGTAATAGTGTAATACACGAAGTACTAATGTAATTACTCATGTAATTAACAATTGCAAGGATTCGCTTAACAGCGGTGGCAAGAAAGGGTTGTAAAACAGGGCAAGACTCACTTAACAACTGTCACTCTTAGTGACATAAATTTTGGGCCGTAAGGCGAGGACTACCCATAGCCTCAGAGGTGGCAACCCCGATTATTTAATCTCTGGGATGGATTTGGAAGTGGGTGAGGAGGGGCAAAGGAAAAAGAAGGGAAACCTTAAAATTGTAGAGATCCAAGGTGGATGAGAACTTTAAAAGGATTCACTTCGCCTCCAGTTTGCCAGCTTTCCTTCTCCCCGCCACCCCCCACCCCTCCAAAAATCAGCTTGGCTGGTTAATTTGCCAGAAAAAAACTCTCATTTACTCTGCTTCTTACAACCTGTTTTTAAACTGCTGTGTAGTTACATGTATGTATCTGTATGTAAGTTCCCATCCACAGCACTTTTTTTTTAAAAAAAAATTATGGTAAAATGAAGCAAGTCTCCCTTAACAACTTTCTCGCTTAGCAACAAAAATGTTGGACTCAGTTCTGGACTACCTGTAATTTAGGCTTGGGGTGGGAGGGGAAGGGTATTCATGTGTTAATTAGGAAATCCTGTGACTCCTCTTCATAAAATGGTAATAAAGGTTTTCTTCTATGAGATTACCGTAATTTTGAGCTGGTCCCACTTTGTTTCTTAAACCAGGAAATGCTTTTAGCAAACATGTTAAAATACACTTTTGTTTGTATTTGTATTTTCTAAAAAAGACTTCTATCTGCTAACGTTCCTTAAAAGTGTGGTCGTTTTTCTAGGCTTGTGACCACTGTAGGCCACTTAACAAAAATGCAAATTGTACAAGCTGAATGTAATGTTACCCGTGAGCAGCTGGCTCACTTTTTTTTTTTTTTTTTGCTTTAATTTATATGCCGCCTTCTCCAGAGACTCAGGGCGGCTTACAGTGCGTTAAGCAATAGCCTTCATACTTTTTTGTATATTTATACAAAGTCAGCTTATTGCCCCCATAATCTGGGTCCTCATTTACCTACCTTAGAAAGGATGGAAGGCTGAGTCAACCTTGAGCCTGGTGGATTTTAACTTGCAGTAATTGCAAGCAGCAGTTGTTAATAACTGTGCTTTAGTCCACTGTACTACAGGCTACATTGCCAGTCCTACCCCAAAAATAAGCCCCAGTTAAGATCATCACACAGACAGATGCACTGCGTAACATATTTTCCCCGAAAATAAGACCTACCTGGAAATTAAGTCCTATCTGGCATCTTTTGGAGCCAAAAATTAATATAAGACCAGGTCTTATTTTCAGGCAAACACAGGTAATTCCTTCTTTTGACACACCCATAAACTGTGTTTATTCGGAGACGGAAAACCAGTCGATCGAAGTGACAAAGCCATTCGTTGTTTTCTACAGGAAGGAGAAGCGGAGGGGTCTGTGAAAGGACATCAGGATGCAGACGTGAAAAGAATAAACGGGAACGCAGCTATGTACGTGTGAGTAGATTTTCTCGGCTCTTTCGAACATCTGCTTCTGTCCTGCCCTCCTTTTCCAGCTCGGTCGACAGCTGCTTAGGACAGCTGCTGAAAAGGAGAATATTCTACATCCACAGGTAGTCCTGGACTTACGAGCGTCACTGAGCCCAACATTTCTGTTGCTAAGTGAGGCATTGGTTAAGTGAGTTTTACGACTTTTCTCGCCACCGTTGTTAAGCAAATCATTGCAGTTGATAAGTTAGTAACCCGGTTGTTAAGCGAATCGGGGTTCCCCCCCCCATCTTAGAAGGTCACAAAAGGGACTCAAAGGATGCTGCAGCCGTCATAAATATGAACCCGTTGCCAAGCATCTGAATTTTTATCATTGACCATGGGGAATCCTGTAATGATTGTAAGTGTGCAAAAAGTCACTTTTTTTGGGGTGCCGTTGTTAACTTTGGACGGTCAATAAATGAACTGTTGTAAGTCGAGGACTATCTGTATCTGGAAGGGGCTGAAGATAGACCCTTTCCTAATTCACATGAGTATAAGAAGTGAGGAGGTACAGTGCAAGCAACTTGCAAGATTCTATTATGATTATTATTACTATATTAGTAAAAGTGGCCTTATTATGGATTGATTATGGTGTGATCTACCTGGTGGGTAGACTTAGGTCGAAATCCAAATTCAGTCGTGAATTCACTTATTGGGTGCCAGCTTGTTGGTTGAGCTCCATAACTGAATCTGGATTTCAACCTTCCTTAACTTAAGAGGAGAGGTCTTCAAACTTGGCAGCTTTAAGACTTGTGGACTTCAACTCCCAAAATTCAACCTTCCTTGACTTAAGAGGAGAGGTCTTCAAACTTGGCAGCTTTAAGTCTTGTGGACTTCAACTCCAGAATTCAACCTTCCTTGACTTAAGAGGAGAGGTCTTCAAACTTGGCAGCTTTAAACTTGTGGACTTCAACTCCTAGAATTCAGCTATGCTGGCTGGAGAATTCTGGGAGTTGAAATCCACAAGTTTAAAGCTGCCAAGTTTGGAGACCCCTGACTTAAGAGTAAGGGAGTGCTCATCATTTCACCCCAAATGTGTCTTTTCTATCTTATTAAAGCCGGAATAAATCTGTGGACGAAGCCAGGAAATACTTGGAAAAAGAAGAATTAACCGTCAGCCAGCTTCTGCATTCCCTCAGGACCGAAACTCAGAAGCGAGAAGCCCTGGAAAATAAGATGCAGGAACTGAAGGACAAGTGTCAACAGTCTGTATTCTTCTAATTGTATCCGACATCTTTGCTAGCCAGCTTCAACCCTTGTGCTTCAACCATTCTCTCGCTTCCTTGTGTAACTCTGTAGTATCTCCATCTCGGCATCTTTGCCCCAAACAAGGTTTTGGTGTTCTCCAGCCAATCAACACCAAAAAGGTGGAGATGGAGTTGAACTTCATCTCACCTACTTCTAGGAGAGCAGAAGTAGGGAGAGCAACCCAGCTGTGGTGGGACAGATGGGAAGAAGGCAACGCAAACAAGCGTGTTAGCTTGGAGGAAGTAGGTGGAAGGCCACCAATGGTTAGCCGTCCCATTGTGCATCTCCACAGGAAGTGCTGACAATGGTTGTTGTAGCCTTTCCTGTTGGATAGGAGCCAAGCCATAGAGTTGACTCATTTTCAGTGGCTAGAAAGGTCTTCAGCTTCATGGCACGTATCTCAGATAGTCCAGTTTTTAAAAACTTTGTAAAGAGGTGATAAGAGGCCTTATCAGTGCTCAGGTCATACCACTATGGCTCTTGAGCATCCAAAAAAGCTTCAAGTATGTTCTTGGGCATTTATATGACCTTAATATAAGACCTTTATGTTATGGCTCTCGGCAATTTGAGATGCAACTTGAGTTAAACAGCTCCTCCTTCAAATCTTTTTTTAAATCTTTTTTATTTTATTCGAAAGGTTAAAATGCAAAACGAGAATAAATTAAACAGCGATAAAACCAAACCAAACAAAAAAATGTGAATTTAAAAAACAAAAAGATAAAACATATATAATTATCCCCCCTTAAACGCCAATAAATCTGTTGTAACAATAGCTTGTCCCCTTTGCAAAGCAGGTCCAAAATGTTTAAGCTTGTACATCTGTTTGCATGTGCATCCATTTGCAACATCCTTCAAATTCTGCAAAAAAAAATATTCAAGCTAAATACGCTTTGATCAGACGTTCTAGATGAATGTTTCACCGGAAACCTTGCTTTCCGCAGGCTGTTGAGTTTGAAAAAGAAAACAAACGACAAAGGCACTCAAACGGAACCAGAAACCAACAAGAAAGAAGAGAGAAGTGAAAGTGTAAGTACTACCCATTTACCAATAGAAGAAAATATTTGTAGCTCAGGGTTGAGATGTGGGGGTCCTTGGTGCTCTCTGAGCTTGGTGATTTTCTTGCAGATGTTTCATGACCCAACTAGGGAACATCATCAGTGCTGAAAGAGGAAGAGGAGGAGGAGGACTGTGGGGTCCTTGGTACTCTCTGAACTTGGGGATTTTCTTGGTGTTTGGTAATGAAACATCTGCAAGAAAACCACCAAGTTCAGAAAGCATCAAAGACCTCCACAGTCGTCTTTCTACTCCTCCTCCTCCTCTTCCTCCTCCTCTTCCTCCTCCTCTTCCTCTCCACACCCACACACACCCTGTCGAAGCGTGACTCAGCCTCGTTCCCCCCCCCCACAGGGAAACTAATGAATTAGAAGTGAAACTGTAATTAATTAGAGGTGTATGGATCTTGTTTTCCATGCTGTATGCTTTCAAAGAAGGAAAACCCGAAGTATATAGTCTAAGAAACATTTTATTATAAAGAAATAAAACAAATTTACTACATCGTTACCGGACAAAGGAAAAAGATCAAGAAGTTAGAAAAGAAAGAATGTAGACATGCGCAGTAGTCCAATGTCTCACAAGACCAGTCTTATCTCTATTGCTATAGAGACGTGATAAAGTTCCCCGGCAGACTACCATAAATCTCAGAATGGATGCTCAGCTGACAAATACTTAACGCAATGACACACCCCTCCCTTCTAGCACTGATGGTGTCACACGCACCATTTAAAAATGGGGTGCGTTTTAAACTTGGTTGCAAGTACCCCCCTTCTTTGCTGTCCCCTACTTAAACAGAAAACTCTTCCAACAATGGTGCATTTTGCAGAATCAGCCAGGCATACACACTGGTTTTGTAGGAGCATCGGGTGTGTGTGTGTGTTATTCTTGTACTGTGCCTCAAGGGCCACAACAAGGGTTTGTTTTAAATTCTGAGCGGGTGGTTTATTTTAGAGTCAGATACCTGTTTGACTTCTGCGTGTGCTGTTAGCTGCATTCTTTCGCGCCTTGTCATGTTTTCAGCAAGACCGGATCGGGGTTTTTTTCGGTTGACCAATTCGCTCTTTTAGGTGGGCAGCGAAGTGGAAGTGCTGAACCTGCAAGTCTCTGCCCTTTTCAGAGAGCTCCAGGAGACCCACGCCAAGTTAAAAGAAGCCGAAGTAATTCAGAAAAAGCTGCACGAAAAGTAAGCATCGTATGCTGTCAAAAGCCTTTTTTTGAGTCAGAACTCAACTCCGGGAGAAAACATTGAACAATCCAGGTAGTATTTCTTGACCATACAAGAAGTCCTTGACTTATGACGGTTGGTTAAACAATGGTTCAAAGTTACCTCAGCCTCAGCCCATCCTTAAAGACTGTTGCACATCCTCAAAGTCATGTACAGGTAGTCCTCGACTTGCGACCACAGTTGAGCCCAAAATTTCTGTTGTTCAATGAGACATTTGTTAAGTGAATTTTGCCCCCCTTTTACGACCTTTCTAGCCACCGTTGTTAAGTGAATCACTGCAGTTCTTAAGTTAGTAACCCAGTTGTTAAGGGAATCTGGCTCCCCCCTTGGCTTTGCTCAGCAGGAGGTCTCAAAAATCACGTGAGCCCGGGGACACTGCGACGGTCATAAAGCTGAGTCAGTTGCCAAGCGTCCAAATATTGATCACATGAGCACGGGGATGCTGCAATAGTCGTAAGTGTGCAAAATGGTCATAAGTCACTTTTTTCACTGCCGTTGTAACTTTGAAGGGTCACTAAACGAACTGTTGTAATTCAAGGACTATCTGTATGCCGTGCCCCATAGTGCTTTACAAGCCTCTCTAGGTGATTTACAATGTGGAATTATTATTTGTGTCTTGCCCCCAACAATCTGGATCCTCATATTACCAACCTCAGAAGGATGGACGGCTGAGTCAAGCTTGAGCCAGTCAGGATTGAACTGCTGGCAGCCGGCAGAGTCAGCCTGCAATACTGCATTCTGACCACTGTGCCACGAGAAAGGGAATAAGAGGGAGGGAGGGAGGGAGGGAGGGAGGGAGGAAGGAAGGAAGGAAGGAAGGAAGGAAGGAAGGAAGGAAGGAAGGAAGGCGGTCAGAATCGAACTGCTGGCAGTGGGCAGAGTCAGCCTGCAATACTGCATTCTGACCATTGTGCCACCAGGAAGGAGAATGAGAAAGGGAATAGGAGGGAGGGAGGGAGGGAGGAAGGAAGGAAGGAAGGAAGGAAGGAAGGAAGGAAGGCAGGCTGAGCCAACCTTGAGCTGGTCAGGATCGAACTGCTGGCAATCGGCAGAGTCAGCCTGCAATACTGCATTCTGAACACTGTGCCACGAGAAAGGGAATAAGAGGAAGGGAAGGGAAGGGAAGGGAAGGGAAGGGAAGGGAAGGGAAGGGAAGGGAAGGGAAGGAAGACAGGAAGGAAGGACGGCTGAGTAAACCTTGAGCCGGTCAGAATCGAACTGGTGGCAGTTGGCAGAGTCAGCCTGCAATACTGCATTCTGACCATTGTGCCACCAGGAAGGAGAATGAGAAAGGGAATAGGAGGGAGGGAGGAAGGAAGGAAGGAAGGAAGGAAGGAAGGAAGGAAGGCAGGCTGAGCCAACCTTGAGCTGGTCAGGATCGAACTGCTGGCAATCGGCAGAGTCAGCCTGCAATACTGCATTCTGAACACTGTGCCACGAGAAAGGGAATAAGAGGGAGGAAGGGAAGGGAAGGGAAGGGAAGGGAAGGGAAGGGAAGGGAAGGGAAGGAAGACAGGAAGGAAGGACGGCTGAGTAAACCTTGAGCCGGTCAGAATCGAACTGGTGGCAGTTGGCAGAGTCAGCCTGCAATACTGCATTCTGACCATTGTGCCACCAGGAAGGAGAATGAGAAAGGGAATAGGAGGGAGGGAGGAAGGAAGGAAGGAAGGCTGAGCCAACCTTGAGCTGGTCAGAATCAAACTGCCGGCAATCGGCAGAGTCAGCCTGCAATACTGCATTCTGACCACTGCGCCACCACGGCGCTCTATCCGAAAAAATACTGGCGGTTCCTTCAGATTTTTAACCCCGTTTCTTCCCTTACGATGTCTCCATTCCCCAGGTGTCAGATTCTCGAAAAGGAACAGCCCGCCAGCGTTGGAGACTTGGATGAGAAGCAACAATTGTTGTACACCATTAAGAAGCTGGAGTTGCAGGTGGAGAGCATGCAGTCCGAAATCAAGCTCGAACAGGCGAAAACCAACGACGAGAAGTGAGGGTCGCCTTGGGAAACAGAGAGCAGGGGACTGGATCTCCGCGTCCCAAAGGTGCTTTTCCAAGAGGCAACTGGACTTCCTTTGTTTGTTTGTTTTCCTTGAAGATGTTTCACTTCTCCTGCAAGAAGCTTCTTCGGTTCTGACTGAATGGTGGAGAAAGGAAGGATTTATATTTGTAGAAGCTTCTTGGAAGAAAAGCAAAAACAGTTCAAGGAAAAATACCAAGGAAGTCCAGTTGCCTTTTGGAGTAAAAAAAAAAGCATATTTGGGAGAGTCACAGCAAATGTTTTATTTCTTATTTCCTTATCCCCTGTGTATGTTGCCAAGCAGTGTTTCCGGATGGAAAACTGGTTAAAGCTGTGCACTGCAGATTTGGCATTAAAGGTAAAGGTTCCCCTCGCACATATGTGCTAGTCGTTCCCGACTCTAGGGGGCGCTGCTCATCTCCGTTTCAAAGCCGAAGAGCCAGCGCTGTCCGAAGGCGTCTCCGTGGTCATGTGGCCGGCATGACTCAACGCCAAAGGCGCACGGAACGCTGTTCCCTTCCCACCAAAGGTGGTCCCTATTTTTCTACTTGCATTTTTTACCTGCTTTCGAACTGCTAGGTTGGCAGAAGCTGGGAGAAGTAAAGGAGTTCACCCCTTTATGTGGCACTCGGGATTCGAACCGCCTAACTGCCGACCTTTCGATTGACAAGCTCAGTGTCTTAGCCGCTGAGCCACCGCGTCCCTCAATTTGGCATTAACCAGGGGGAAAGGGGGAGTAGGAGAGACCCTCTGTTGGCGCTTAAATTTTCTCTTCCTCCTCCTCCACCAGAGCCAAATTTCATAGCCTCCAGGACGCCTACGGCAAGCTGGCAAAGGAACTGAACGAGGCTTTGCAGACCGTTGAAGAATTAAAGGGCCAAGAGGTGAGCTTCGCTCTAGACCAGGAGGACCGTGGGAGAAAGGGATGGAGGAGCCTTGTGGGAGAATAGCCCGGGCTTCCCACTTGCCCCCCGGGCAGAGATTAGAAAGCACTGATTTTGGGGCGGCTGTGAAATGGCTGTGAATATTGAGCCCCACTGAGGACAGCGGGGTTGGGCTAAGGATGGGAAGCCTTCTTGGACGGCTACTCCTTAAACCTACACTTCTTCCTCCTCTTCTTCCTTCTATCTCCTCTGCCTTTTCCTCCTTTCTATCTCCTCCTCCTTCTATCTCTTCCTTCTCCACCTACTACTACTACTACTATCTCCTCTTTTTTTCTCCTTCTATCTCCTCCTATCTTCTCTTCCTTCTCCATCTTCCATCTCCTCCTATTCTTTTTTATCTCCTCCATCTTCCTCCCCCTCCTTCCTCCTCCTCCTCTTATCTCCTCCTTCCTTTTTTCTACCTCCTCCTTCTATCTCCACCTTCTTCTATCTCCTCCTCCTTCTGTCTCCTCCTCCTCCTCCTATCTTCTCTTCCTTCTCCTCCTCCTCCATCTTCCTCCTCCACCTCCCCTCCTCCTTCTATCTCTTCCTTCTCCTCCTCCTGCTTCTCTTCTCCTCTTCTCCTTCCCTTTTTTCTACCTCCTTCTCCTATCTCCACCTTCTTCTATGTCCTTCTTCTTCTGTCTCCTTCTATCTTCTCTTCCTTCTCCACCTCCATCTTCTATCTCCTCCTGCTCTTTTTTCTATCTCCTCCTCTGCCTCCTCCTTCCTCCTCCTCCTCTTCCTTCCATATGGGATGGTTTTCAACTTCCCAGCCTACACTACATATCCTGGTAGTCTCTCATCCAAGCAGGAACCGGGTCCAACCCTGCTTAGCCATTTTTTCCCCCAAGATCGACTTGGTGACTGGGCCCCTGGAATCCAACAGGTGACATCCTACTGCAGGGGCAGGAATCCAACAGGTGACATCCTGATTCATCCTACTGCAGGGGCAAAGGGCCAACCAGGCGACGTTAGACGAATTAATTCACAAACTGGATCTTGCCGAAAAGGCCCTGGCTGCCAAGCAGTTGCAGATCGACAAAATGAAGCAAACGCTTGTGAAGCAAGAAGAAGAGCTGGAGACGATGGCTATCCTGCGAGCTCAGGTATGGTTGAACAGGGTGAAACTTCCCGGGTCTGGTCTGTAGCTTGAGATTCCTTCCTGGTGGTCTTCCATCCTGATCGGGGACTGGCCCTGCTTAGTTGCGAAGTCCAGTCAGGTCCTGACGCCTGAAAAAAAAGTAGAGGAGATCTTCCTCACTTGATCTCAACTCCTGATGACTTTGTGGATACGTCCACCTAGCTTTTTGGGGGCATGGAAGTGGTTTGAAATACCTGGGACGTTTTTCAATTTCCCAGCCAAGGCTAGATTTCGTGGTGGTCTCCCATCCAATCCGCACTGGGCCTCGAACCATTTAACTTCTCAGCCCAAACCAAGTCAACCAGAAGCTGCAAGCCTGGTTAGATAGCAATAGCCCATAGACTTATATACTGCTTCAACTGCTTTGCAGTCCTCTCTAAGCAGTTTACAGAGTCAGCCTATTTGCCCCCAACCATCTGGGTCCTCATTTTACCGACCTCGGAAGGACGGAAGGTGGAGTCAACCTTGAGCCGGTCATGATCAAATTCCTGGCTGTGGGCAGAGTTAGCCTGCAATACAGCACTCTAACCACTGCACAGTTAGAAAGAAGATTGAGAAAGGAAATAAAAGAGGAAGGAAGGAAAGGGAAGGAATGGAAAGGAAAGGGAAGGAAAGGGAAGGAAAGGAAAGGAAAGGAAAGGAAAGGAAAGGAAAGGAAAGGAAAGGAAAGAATAGCAATAGCACTTAGACGTATATACTGCTTCACGGTGCTTTTATAGCCGTCTCTAAGCAGTTGACAGTCAGCCTATTGCCCCCAACAATCTGGGTCCTCATTTTACCGATCTCGGAAGGACGGAAGGCTGAGTCAGCCTTGAGCCGGTCAGGATCGAACTGCTGGCAGTGGGCAGAGTTAGCCTGCAATACTGCACTCTAACCACTGCGCCACCAGGGTTCTTAAGATGAGCAAGGGCTGAAGATTAGACTTCAGAATGAAAATGTTGGGGACTGTTTGAAGTGAGACCGTCGTTTTCCTGAGCAGATGGAGGTCTACTGCTCCGATTTCCACGCGGAAAGAGAGGCGAGAGAGAAGATCCACGAGGAAAAAGAACAACTAGCCACACAATTGGCGTACTTCTTGGCTGAAAACCAAGAACGTGGAGATCTTGGCAGGTGAGCAACCAATGAAGGACTTCTTTTCCCTCCCTGTCTAGCAAAGAAAGTCTCATCCTTCTCCATCAAGGTTCTTGTCACCTTCTTCAGTTAATTGGACTACTGCAATGCACTCTACATGGGCCTGCCCTTGAAGAGAGTTTGCAAACTTCAGTAGGTCCAGAAGGCAGTGACATGAGCAATGTTGGGTCCACCACATGATACCTTTGTTAATTTAACAGATTAACAGAGTTGGAAGGGACCTTATAGGTCATCTAGTCCAACTCCCCACCCAAGCAGGAGACCCTACACCATTTCTGACAGATGGCAGTCCAGTCTCTTCTTGAAAGCCTCCAGTGATGGAGCTCCCACAACTTCCGAAGGCAACTTCTGTTCCATCAATTGATTGTCCTCACTGTCAGGAAATTCCTCTTTATTTCTAGGTTGAATCTCTCCTTGTTCGGTTTCCATCTATTATTCCTTTAGGTGCTTTGGAAAACAGGTTGACCCCCTTCCTCCTCTCTGTGGCAGCCTCTCAAATATTGAAAGATGCTATCCTGTCTCCCCTGGTCCTTCTCTTCACTAGACTAGCCATGCCCAGTTCCTGCAACCGTTCATCGTTTGTTTTAGCCTCCAGTCCCCTAATCATCCTGGTTGCTCTTCTCTGCACTCTTTCTAGAGTCTCAACATCTCTTTTATAGTGTGGTGACCAAAACTGGATGCAATACTCTAGGTGTGGCCTTACTAAGGTTTTACAGAGTGGTATTAGCACCTCACTTGATCTTGATTGTATCCCTCTGTTAATGCAATTTAGGATTGTATTGGCTTTTTTGGCTGCTGCTGCCACTGCTTTGTATGGTATGTTTTCTCACAGTTGGCTTCTGAGTTCAGTTCAAATTGATGGTGGCCTCCCATAAAGTCCTTCCTGGAAGAGGGTAGGGTTACTTCCTTGACTGCTTATCTCCAAGTCTTTCTGATCATTCTAGAAGAGCAGGTATCCCTTCTGTGAAACAGTGTCATCTAACAGGATCCAATAACATGTTCTCTGTCACGGAAGGACGTTTCTCCTGAGGTCCAGAGGACCTTCCATCAAGCCTTAATACTGGGGTCTCCAAACCTGGCAGCTAAGATTTATGGACTTCAACTCACGGCTGGTTGAGGAATTCCGGGAATTGAAGTCCCAGAAATCTTAAAATTGGCCAAGTTTGGAGATTCCTGCCTTAAACATTCCCCGAAGTGTTGGCCACAATAACCACTGAACTTGGTTTATTATGTTGGTTTGTTTGATAGATCAGAGGTAGGTTTCAAGTCAGATGTTAGCAGCATGGCATTGTATTATTGCTTGCCACAGTTCTTATTTGATCGATCGAGTTCTTTTTCTAAAATTGTCATTAGTCCATCCATCGTGGTGCCCTCAGATCAGCAACCAAGGAAATCTTTTTAATAAATTTTTAAAAATGAATTCCTCTCGCGTAAATGGAGAATTGGCCTTTAACATGCACCCCCTTTCTCCTCAGGTGCTCCTTGGCAGAAATGCAAACTCGGCACGGAAGCAGGCTGTCCTCAGATCAAGGTAATTCAACTGAGTCCGTGCAGGAAGGTAGGACAAAATTTGGACAGAATGTAGTCTTTGTTTAGATCACAAATCCCGAGTGGGTTGATGAGAACCTTCCGTTTTGAGAGAAGAAGTGGTTTTACCAATAGAAGTGGATATTCGTAGCTCAGGGTTGAGCTGTGGGGTCCTTTGAGGCCTCTGAGCTTGGGGGCTTTCTTGCAGACGTTTCAGGACCCAACTAGGGAACATCATCAGTGCTAGTAGGGTTGTGGGGTTTGTGGAGAGCAGGAGGAGGAGGATTGTGGGGTCCTTGTGCTCTCTGAGCTTGGTGCTGTATCGCTTTGAAAGGAAATGATAGAACCAGGGGGGAAAAATAAAAGGAAAATTGAATTGAATTGTATACAGCTAGTCCTCAACATGCAACAGTTCATTTAGTGACCATTCAAAGTTACAACGGCACGGAAAAAAGTGACAGGACCATTTTTCACACTTAATGACCGTTGCAACATCATCACATGATTTACATTCAGATGCTTGGCAACTGACTCACCTTTATGACGGTTGCCATGATCACGTCGTCCCCTTTTTGTGACCTTCTGATGAGCCAAGTCAGCGGGGAGGACGGATTTACTTAACAACCGTGTGGCTAATTTAACCACTGCAGTGATTCGTTTAACAAATGTGTTGAGAGAAAGTCGTAACATTGTTAAGCGAGACACGTAAACGTGTCTCGCTTAACAACAGAAACTTGGGGCTCAATTGTGGTCATAAGTCGAGGGCTATGTGTATAAAGAAATAAAGGGAGACTAGTTTAGATCTATTTCAAGCTATTTAGCTCTCATCAGCTAGCCCTACCCTTACTGGGATTCGAACTTGGGCTGCCTGCATATTAGGCAGTTGTATTAACCTCTGAGCCACAAGTTCTCCTCCCTTTTATCAGCTTGAGCCAGGAGAGAGATTATATAGAAATAGATCTATACTAGTCTCCCTTTATTACTTTATCAGCAAATATAAATTTGGTATAAAATGGTTTGTCGTGAATGCGACTGCTTGAGGGCTCCTGGATTGGAGCTGAAAGGTGAAAAGGAAGCAGTATGCTCCCTCCCACATATTGGGGTAGACCAGGTGCTTCTATAGAAAAACACTTAATATATATATATTTATATTTATTTCTTTTTTCAAAAAATGTCTGTACCTGCAGGAGCTGAAGACCAGAATCAGCAACAGCAACCAAGAGATATTCCTATACATTCTTGTCCAAAATGTGGTATAATTCTTCCGGATATAGATACGCTTCAAATTCACGTTATGGACTGTATCATCTAAACACTTTTCTCAGAAATGCTCAGAAACCTGCACTTTGTAAAAAAAATATATGTTTCCATATGCACCTTGGTTTAGGAAGCGTTGGAGACCATAACAGCTTCTTCCTAAGGATTCCCTAGGGAGGTTTAGGATTTACCGTAGTTAGGCATTCAAAATTGACCTTACAAAAACTATAACGTACATCCGTACAATCTCTTTTCCACCTAGCTGAAGCTAAAATATGTCAGCTGCGTAATCGCTAGGAACAACACATTTTAAAAGACGACAATGTGGGGATTATTTAACGCAGCTTGTTCAGTAGGAAGAGTGCAGACTGGAAGTCTTACAGAGGCAGCTTCAAAGTTGCATATTTATATTTAATCGCATATTTTAAAAGGGTTTAAGAAAGATTTTGGAGGTTGAACCCTTTCTGTAGCTGTTTTGACCGGAACGATTCATTTTATAGTCGGAAGGCATCCGTTAAAACTCAAACGATTCTGATGAAATGAGAAGAGGACTTTGGAGGATTTAAACTTTTCACCCTCAACATTTTTGTGTGGCCCTCTGTGTGGTACTGAATAACAGAGGTAAATCACATGGTGAAATACATTGACCAACAGGTAAAATAAAAGTATATTGATTGCCAATTGAGAAAACATTCACACTGGGATGTATGTGATTCTACTCTAAAATAGTCTGAAAGCCGTCGCTGCTATTCGTGGCGTATCTGTAAATGATAAAAGACAGCGAGAGCAATAATAAGAATGCTGATTTTTACTTTTGATTCATTCGATTCTTGCTTAAATTGTGATTATTTCAGTGTGGATCAAAACAGATCACGAATTACTTAACTGATGAAACAGTGCAGGAGTCACTTAGTGGTGTAATTAAATAATATATTTTAAATGTTTATTTTAAAGCTTAATTTTGTACCTCTGATTGTTCCATAAGTACCTTATTAATACAAAGTTTACAGCAAAGCTAGGAAACCATTGAAGGATAATATTTGTGTGGGTCACACTCGCTCACCTGAGTTTTTACAGTGAGTGGTCTTGTTTAAGCTAAATGAAGATTAAATTAATTAACTGCCCAATAAATACTTTGTTGGTCCTTACGTTTGAAATTTCTGTTTAAAGAATCGTCTGGATGTTATACTTGAAAAAAAAAAAGACTTAATGGCACAAGTGATAAACGAATTGTATGAATGAAAGAAAACAATAAAGCCATGTTCTGAAATATTTTGTTTTAAAGTTTACTGACGATCCTAGAGGACCTGAATAGCTTTTTAAAAACAGTGTTTTCAAGAGTTTTCTTTGGGTGCAACTGGACAAGATCTTTTAAACACTTCAGAAATGTCTTAATCCGATCTGTTGTCCCAGAAAGCTCCTCTTAGTTTATCCAACGTGCGGGCCCAATAACCATACCAGATAGGTGGAAAGGATTAAAACTTATTTGCAAATGAAAGCTTGTCCAGAAGCAGCTTACAAAATGGGCACACCCTGCCTTGGAGAAGACCCCCTTTTTAAAATAATTTTGAACAGTGTACATCAGTATGAACCAACTATAAAAATAAACATCATGGCAAACCAATTATAAAAGATAACCTCGTGCCTACAATTATTCTTCCATAGTCATAGTAACATAGTTCAAGATTCGACTAAACTTGAATTTAAATGAAAGAGTTTATTTTTATCGTTATCGTTCCTGAACAACTTGGTACCAGGGGAAAATTCTTCACCTTAATGAGCAAGGATTCCTAAATGTAAGGGTTTTTTTACGTATTTCTGTCCTCTTACTTAGCAAGCAAGTCAAGACCCTCGTAAAGATTACAGAACACCCTTGCTATTGCTGTGTGCTACACGGATTTAAACGGTTTACAATATTTGGGTAATAAAAATGTGGATTAACATGGGCTGTCTCTGTCAGATTCAGACTCGTACATTAAAAAAAAAACTATCAACAAGGAAGAATAATAGGAAGTCCCCACTGTGCCAAGGAATTTTGCAGCCACATCACAAGGAAAGTGGGGCTTCCAACTACTTTCCCACCAGAAATGCAAACCAGCAAAGCACCTTTTTTCTGTAACAACCACCCTGTGAGGCAGGTTAGGCTGAGAGAAGGGAACTGCCCCAAATATATCCAGTGAGCCTCTATATTTAGATCCTGATCTGTTCAGTACCTTCATTGCTACATTATCTTGGTTTGAGGGGTCCTTGGTGCTCTCTGAGGATGCTTGTTTTCTTGCAGACATTTCATGACCCAACTAGGGAACATCAGTGCTAGTAGGGAGTGCAAACAGCACACCTTACTAGCACTGATGATGTTACCTATTCAGGGTAATGGTAACATAAGAAAACAAGGTCAGAGAGCACCAAGGACCCCTCAGTTCAACCCTGAGCTACAAATATTCTCCTTTATTGATATCTTGGTGTGGTTAATTGCAAAGAAATGTAGATTTAGATTTAAACAAATCTTAAGCAAATTTAGATTTGTTTGCTGCCCATCTTGCTTCGAGGTGATTTTTGGCAGCTTACAAACACTGGAATAAAACCTTAAAATATTAAAAGCCAATATATAGCTTCGGCATCTTTATCCTGTCTTAACTGAAGCCTGGAGATATGCAGAATTAATTGCTTTTTCAGCAACAACCTGTCTCCTTATACAGCAGAGTCTTAACGGCGTACATCACAATTTTCCTAAATTTTAAGAATCGTGGCTTTTGCACAAAAGTACATATGCGTACACTACACTAATGCTGTAAATGCATTTTAAATGTTTATTGAAGAAGGATGCATCAACTACATTCACACAACTTGCTTAACCTGGGTCTTGCATTAACCCAGTTTAACCCTTGGGTGAAGTATAAATCCAGTGGGTTACTAGCACAATGCATTAAGGTACTTGGGGGATTGAGGGAGGAAATTGCATTAAGGGAAGCAAAGCACGTGTAGATGCAAACTCCATGTCTTCACGTGTCTAAACTAAACCTCTGCCCTGCTAGTTGCACTTGGGTGATAATCCCAGCTTTAAAATTCTCGCTTCTAGCAACTGCGCATGCGGATCACGGGAGCGACTCTTAATTTTCTTATCTCTTTGGCTCGCTGGGCCGCAGAGCGCGCCAATCACATCCCGCCGCGCATGCGCAGTCATGAACGCCGGAACCGCTTCGGCCTCGCTCTTTGTATCCTTCCCAATGGAGTTCCATAGAGATACTAACAAAGAAATCCCTGGTTTAATGCCCGGAACTGCGTGCAGACGCGTCGGGGGCGGGTCGGAATTGAAACTTTTGGCGGGTTTTCAGCGCTGTTTCTTCTTGGGCGGAAGGGAAAAGTTTGCAACCCAGGTAAGAAAGTCGCAGCTTCGCCAAAACAGCGAGGAATGGGCTGCAAAAAGGGAATTGCAAGCCCATGCATTGGGCAGAGAGAGGTTTGGAAGGGTCCCCGCCGGTGCAAAAGAGGGCAGATAAGCAATTTACATTGCAAAGATTTTGCACTCCAATTCCAAGCAGCTGATCCGGAAAGTGGAGTTGCAATTGCAAAAAAGTGTGCTTTTTGCAACCTCCCTTGGAATGGGGTGCAATCTCAGCCTTTGCCCCTCAACAAACTTGGGAAAAGAGTAAATTTTTTTTAAAAAAATTGAGTTTTAATTCCAGGAATGGGAGTTGTGCAAGGAAAGGGAGAAAAATGGCAAATTCAAATTTAAAATCTTCTTTAATGGATTGGTTTTCAAGCAAGGGTGGAGTTTTGCACCCATAGAGTGGATATTTTGGCTGATTGCAATGATTCTCAACCTTAACTTTAAAGATGGAGGGGGATTTCAACTCCCAGAATTCCCCAGCCAGCACAGAATTCTGGGAGTTGAAGTCTTCCCTCCCATCTTTTGCCACCTCTGCATTTTCTCTTCTCTTCCTCTCTGGATTTAGTTACATAAGAAGAATGTGTTTATTCGTTTGTTAAATTTATATGTCAAGACAGCTCACTATCCAAAATGACTACTGGGCATCTTACATGGTATAATTATAATTATCTGTTATGTTTTGTTAATTACCAATTATGCCTTGTTAATTATCGGTTCTCATTTGACCAAGGAAATTCTCCAAGGCTGTATCAAAAAAAAAATATCCTCAGTGGCAATTTTCAGTTCCTTGAGTTATTTATATATTGCAGTTTAAAATAAAGGTTCGGCTAAGCTTAACCTCCAGCTCTTTGGACTTCAAATTCTCCCCCAGCGCTTTTCCTACTTCAAAACGTTCAGTTTTATGCATGGTTTCTCGCAGCAGCTTCGAATAAATTTTTATGTTCTTCTTCCTCATCCTTTTACTTGTATGAGAGTTCCATATTTATTAGTTTTTCCCTGTTGCTTTTATGTTCCCAGAAAACAAGAATTATTTTCTGCTGAAAGAATGGACGGTGAGTACTGAATTTTCGTGGGTTTTTTTTTTTAATTTATCATATCCCATTTAGCACTGGGCAGGATTCTGCCGGATCATGGACTTAACCTTGTTGCTGGTATCCTTGTGATTTATATTGATATTGTTTCCTGATTGCTTATTTGTTCCCGATGACTATCATTAAGTGTTGTACCTTATGATTCTTGATGAACGTATCTTTTATTTTATGTACACTGAGAGCATATGCACCAAAGACAAATTCCTTGTGTGTCCAATCACACTTGGCCAATAAAGAATTCTATTCGATTAGATTCTATTCGTTATCCACTGTAGCTGAAATGGTTCATAATTTATCCATATACAAGAGTACATGGTTTAGCTGGTATAGGGTTTCCTGCCTAAGCAGGGGGTAGGACTAGAAGACCTCAAGGATCCCTTCCATTTCTGTTATTCTATTCTATTCTGCTCTGCTCTGCTCTGCTCTGCTCTATTCCTATTCTATTCTATTCCTATTATTTTCTAGCTGCTACTTTTCATTGCTTTTGAAAAATCTCCTGAGTTTCCATGAGGGCCCTGATGATGTTACCTAGTTTGGTAATGAAACGTCTGTAAGAAAACCACCAAGCTCAGAGAGCACGAAGGAGCCCAAATATGTGTTTTCCTGAGCCTCTAGGTATACTGTGCAAACCCAGGAAATAATGCTGGTCATGTTTATTTATTTATGTATTTATTCCTATTTGTCCCAGCCCTGTCCATCTTGGAGTGTAGCTGTTGGCCAAGTATATATAGATGCATGTATACAAGATAGTCTTCAACCTACAACCACGACTGAGCCCAAAATAGCTGTTGGCTATTATGTAGGCTGAGGAAAACACACATTTGGGGTCCTTGGTGCTCCCTGAGCTTGATCTTTTTCTTGCAGACATTTCATTACCAAACTAGGTAACGTCATCAGTTCCCCCATGGAAACTCAGGAGATTTTTCAAGAGCACTGAAAAGGAGCAGCTAAATCATGTAACTCTTGTAAATGGAGAATCCTGTACAGTGGTTGCTTTAATCATACGTCTGGGCATATTTCATACAAGGAGTTAATCGTTCCAACCCTAAATTGCATTAACAGAGGGGTACAATTAAGATGACGTGAGGTACTACTACCACTCTATAAAGCCTTAGTAAAACCACACCTAGAGTACTGCATCCAGTTTTGGTCACCACACTATAAAAAGGATGTTGAGACTCTAGAAAGAGTGCAGAGAAGAGCAAACAGGATCATTAGGGGACTGGAGGCTAAAACATACGATGAACGGTTGCAGGAACTGGGCCTGACTAGTCTAGGGAAGAGAAGGACCAGGGGAGACAGGATAGCATCTTCCAATATTTGAGAGGCTGCCACAGAGAGGAGGGGGTCAACCTGTTTTCCAAAGCACCTAAAGGAATAATATATGGAAACTGAACAAGGAGAGATTCAACCTAGAAATAAGGAGGAATTTTCTGATAGTGAGGACAATCAATTGATGGAACAGAAGTTGCCTTCGGAAGCTGGGAGCTTCATCCCTGGAAGCTTTCAAGAAGAGACTGGACTGCCATCTGTCAGAAATGGTGGAGGGTCTCTTGCTTGGTTGGACTAGATGACCTACAAGGTCCCTTCCAACTCTTTTAATCTGTTAAATCTGTTCCAAGACAGCTTTAAATTGAGCTGGCGTCCCTCTGTTGATATTTAAAGAGAAAATTGGCATTGCTTTTGAACAAGAGAGGAAAACAGGAAACTTTCTCAGGGATGCAATTATACGTTAAATTATACTTACGTTTCACTTGGTTTGAATAGCTGGAGGTGGAAGTGTTTGTAAAGGCTGCTCCCTTGGATCATTGCTAACTGGGCCGTTATCCATTTCCTTCCAGGGGCTGATGACTTAGACCTGTTAGCTTCCCTCTTAGAGGAGAATGAAGCAGAAGAAGATTCGGCAGAGAAGGAAAGAGCAGCTGACCATCAGGATGAGTATGATTTACTCTTTGAGGCAGAAGACGACGAGTCTTACACCGAGGAGGTGGAAGAGGGAGAGGAGGGCTCCACTGCTAGCCAGGAAAACATGGCTGAGCTGTTTGGGGATGTGACTGACCTGTTGGAGGAAGAGAAGAAAGAAGGAAACGTTCAGAAGATATCCCATCCTGTAGTTCCTGATCAAGTGAAAGAACCTTCCAAGGAAGATCTTCAAGGTCTCTTGAAACCTTCTTAAATTCTGATGGTTAAAAGTGATCTAATCTGGGGGTTTTGTCTCAAAAATCTTTAGCACGTTGTGGCCTGTTGGCCGCCCAAATCAGATGAGGAGGTGTGGGAGTCAAGGTCAGCATCAAGGCAACCTGAGAGCTCTGAGGGGGAAGAGGGAATGGAGCTGTCAGAGAGAGAGAGAGAGGAGGAGTCTGGGTTGTTCATCAGTCCTCAGATGGAGAGTCAATAACCCCCAGATCTAGAGGTGGCTGAAGAGGAAGAGGAGGAACAGCTGGGTCCAGTGCCTGATGCGTGGATGCACAGAAGGCAGAGGAGAGGAGAGCAGTTGAAATCTATGGGCGGTCCTTGAGACGGAAGAGCCACCACTGCTAGCGAAGCCTTACCCTAACTGGGGATAAAAGGCAGGAGATGAATAGATGTGGCAGACAATTATTCATCTCTCCGGCCGGCTGGACTTGTTAGCCTGCGGTGAGAGAGAAACTTTTTGCCGGGGTTGCTGGCGCTCCTAATAAAGGAATCATTGATTTCACTTCAGAGGGTTTGTCGTGTTTGGGGAGCTGGGTCAGAACATATCGGTTTAAAGAAATGGCGTCAAAACTGCAAACTCAAAACAGTTCAGATGTTCCTGGTGCATTAAATATTGGTTTATCGGGGGACGGGAGGTGTCCCTAATTTTTAATTTACCTAACCTTGGGCTTCCAATGATATTTGTCTGTCTTCTTCTTCTTGCCTCGCAGGTGAGTTGAGAAAGCTGCAAGAGCAGATGAAAAAATTGCAGGAGCAGTTGGGAAGGACGGCGATAGGAAAGCCAGCTGATTCTGATCCCTGCAAGAAAACATCTGGTAATTGCGTTTTTTCCCTTTTTGACAATTCTCCAACGTGCGATCCCGCATTTTATCCTGTGGACATTTCATTGTAACCCCGAGCAATTTCCTAAAATTATACGAACGCCGGCATTCAATAGAATAGTTAAAATGCTTGCGATATTTTGACGTTGTGTATACATTTCAGATTCAATACCAGTGATCACATTATGGGTGCTTGCAGCTGTACTTACAGCTGCTTGGAGCATCCCACGCAGTGGTGGGTTTTAATTTTTTTTACTGCAGGTTCTATGGGCGTGGTGTGGCTTTGTGGGCGTGGCAGGGGAAGGATACTGTAAAATCTCCATTCCCACCCCACTCCAGGGGAAGGTTACTGGCTGTAAAATATCTCAATTCTCTATTGTATATTTTAATAAATTCTTTTGATTTCTTTGATCAGGGAAATCAACCGCTGGTGTCATTAAGGAAAGGACTCCTTCCAAGGTTCAAAAATGCCCGTCTTTTTCAGCCCAGCTGAACAGTCCTGCTTTAGCCCTGCCAAAAAGCCAGTTCCAGAAATCAAAATCTATGATTGCAGGTATATTAAGCCATTCCTTCTGCTTGATTTCTGGCAGAGTGTTGTAAAAAGAACGGTTGCAGGAATTGGGTATGTCTAGTTGAATGAAAAGAAGGACTAGGGGTGACATGGTAGCAGTGTTCCAATATTTGAGGGGCTGCCACAAAAAAGAGGGGGTCCATATTTTCTCCGAAGGCAGGACAAGAAGGATGGAAACGATTTAATCAAGGAGAGAAGCAACCTGGAATTAAGGAGAAACTTCCTGACAGTGAGGACAATTGACCAGTGGAACAGCTTCCCACCAGAAATTGTGGGTGCTCCATCACTGGAGGTCTTTAAGAAGAGGCTGAACAGCCATTTGTCTGGGTCTCCTGCCTAAGCAGGGGGTTGGACTAGAAGACCTCCAAGGTCCCATCCTCCTCTGTTACTCTGTTATAAAATCTGCTTCTTTCATATCTTTGAAAGGGTGAAGACATGTTGTTTTAAGGCAGTGCCTTCACAGCTCGGGAGTTGATCTAGTAAAATGCAAATAGGCTCGTGCAGATTACATTCTGCATCTGGAATATAAAATGTTATCATAAATTGGAGAAGGACACAGTTTTTTTCCAGCATGCTCTCTTGCTGAAAAGAGCAAAGTAAATCAGAATGACTTATGCATGCAGGGGGCGGGGGGGGATATTTATCTGTGTTTTGGGGCTGCCAGCATCTTCTGTTATTTTATTTTTTAAAAAAAATATTTTCTGGAAGAAAAAAATACACCTGCAGTCAGAATTGATTGTGGCTGATTTGCAATTTTATTCCCCTGGGAAAAATTACTTATTGTTAAACAGAGAAGTTTGAGAAAAAAGCTTCCATTTTTAAGTCTTTTTTTCCTCCATGTTGTTTTTTCAGTTTTCTTCTGGGATAATGGGGTATTCTTTGTCTTCTGTTTCTTAGTGAATAAGAACCACACTTCAAAAGCTACACCTCGTCTGCTCTCACAGCCACTTAAATCTGTGGTTGGAAACAGACCCGCTGCGGATTCCAGTAAGAAAATTCCAGTGACAAAAAATTCCGAGATCAAGAATCAAAATGTGTCCGTGGAAATCTACTCTGGCTTGAAATTAAGGTGAGCAAACTATCCGGAATAACTTAATAATTAATTATTTTTAAATGGTATGTGGACCACAAAGGGTAATTATATACATTTCTTGTTAAGAACAATTCTGTCATCGACACCAAGGGCATAGTTTTATTCTAGATGTATTACAGGCAGTCCTCGATTTACGGCCACAATTGAGTGCCCAAAATATCTGTTGCTAAGCGAGGTAGTTGTTAGGTGAATTCCGCCTCATTTTACAACCTTTCTTGCCACCGTTGTAAGGGAATCACTGCCGTTATTAAGTTAGTAACCCGGTTGTTAAGTGAATCTGGCTTCCCCATTGACTTTGCTTGTCAGAAGGTCGCAAAAGGGAGATTACGTGACTCCGGGACACCACGACCATCATAAATATAAGTCAGTTCCCAAGCATCTGAATTTCGATTATTGGATTATTACAGGGATGCTGCAACTGTTGTTAAGTATGAAAAACGATCATAACTCAGTATTTTTCAGTGCCGTTGTAACTTGGAACCGTCACTAAACAAATGGTTGTAAGCCAAGGACTAACTACTCACGAGAAGCATTTGAAAACCTCTCTAATACTTTTCCAGGCATGATGTTTTCAATCTTAAGGACTTGTCTGGGCTTTTTTAAAAAAATCTTCTTCAATTCCTTAAAAAAATTATTTAAGGAGTTCTTGAGGAGCCGAATTTGTTAGGCAAGACTTTTTTGGCGGAGTATTTTTGATAAATAGCAATAGCACTTAGACTTATATACCGCTTTACAGCCCTCTCTAAGCGGTTTACAGAGTCAGCCTATGGCCCCCAACGATCTGCGTCCTCATTTTACCAACCTCGGAAGGACGGAAGGCTGAATCAACCTGGAGCCTGGTGAGATTCGAACTGCCAAATTGCAGGCAGTCTGCAGTCAGCAGAAGTAGCCTGCAGTACTGCGCTCTTACCACTGCGCCACCGTGAATGTTGGAAACTCCTGAGCAGAGGTGGCGCAGTGGTGAGAGTGCAGTACTGCAGGCTACTTCTGCTGACTGCTAGCTGCAGTTCAGCAGATCAAATCTCACCAGCTCAAGGTTGACTCAGCCTTCCATCCTTCCGAGGTGGGTAAAATGAGGACCCAGATTGTTGGGGGCAAGAGGCTGACTCTCTAAACCGCTTAGAGAGGGCTGTAAAAGCATTATGAAGCGGTATATAAGTCTAAGGGCTATTGCTATTGTCACTCAGCCTCCTGGTTGTGTCAAGCGATGGGCGGTTAAGGCAGGATGAGGATTTCTGATTTCTTTGCAGAAAACCTCGTGTCTCTTCGACCGAGATGGAGAGGAAAATGACTGGGCGGAAGCTGATTAGGCTGTCTCAGGTACAAGACAAACTCCGATCGTCAAATCTTGAAGAAATGGATTGGGTCACCTTTGGTGTCATAATAAAGAAAATGACTCCTCAAAGCATCAACAATGTAAGTGCTTGAATGTTTGCTCGGGTCTCTTCGGCCTTCTGCTGACCGTCTCCATCCCTGGCTGGCCAGAGAAAAAAGCCATATATTCCTATGAATTTCTCACTTGCTGTATTTTGTTGTGGCCTGTCAGCCGCCAGCCCCTCCAGCACCCGAATCAAAGGAGGAGGAGGCGTGGGAGTGAGGGTCAGCATCACGGCATAAGCTCCAAGGGGGAAGAGGGAATGGACCTGTCAGAGGCGGAGCCTAGGTCGTCCGTCAGCCCTCAGATGGAGAGTCAACCGCCCCCAGGTCTGGAGGTGGCTGATGAGGAAGAGGAGGAACAGCTGGGTCCAGTGCCTGACGCCCGAATGCACAGAAGGCAGAGGAGAGGAGAGCAGTGGAAATCTATGGGCCGGTCCTTGGAATGGAAGAGCCACCTCTGCTAGCGAAGCCCCACCCTAGCTCTGGGGATAAAAGGCAGGGGGCGGAGATGAATAGGTGTGGCAGACAACTATTCATCTTCCGGACGGATTGTTGTGCCCCCGTCGGAGTCTGAATCCGAGGGGAAAGACGAACAGCTGACAGAGAGCGGGAGAGTGGCTCCGTTGGCTGTGGAGGAAACTGAGGAAGTGCAAAGTCAGGCTGGGCAGAGCAGGGGAGAGGTAGAACAAGGGTTCAGATGAAAACCAAGGCCCACTCCCTCCTCATCCTAGGGCACGCAGGGAAGAATGGAGAAGAGAGCAACATGGGTTGCGTGGCTTACAAGGGAGGAAAGGGCCCCAATTCCCTTCACAAGGCACACCTGGGGATGGAGTTTAAAGGAGAGGCAAATGGGAGGATCGGTTGTCGGGAACAAACACTGAGTTCATTTTGTGTTAACTGCTTTATCTGAGTTCCTGGCATCCTCCCAACTGGTTTGATTTACTGCCGTGCTACTTCACTCCTGGAACTCCTTATCTTGCTTGCCCTGCTGGATTGATTACTTTAGCTTGCCTTGTTGGATTTATATTTGGAAGTTTTCTGCTTATAACGCTTGGACGGGAGTATTTTCAGCCAACGGCTGTTCCAGTTTTGTGGGAGAGTTTTTCTCCAGACCGGAAAGTAAAAGGGACGTTGGAGACAAAGTTGGAGCTAATAAAAGGACTCATACTTATTCTCTGGCTGTGTTGCCTTTGTGACACGCCCCTGGTCATCACACGGATAGAGTTGTTAGCCTGTGAGAAAGAGATTTTTTGCCAGGGCTGCTGGTGCTCCTAATTAAAGGAATCTTTGCGTTCACTTCAGAGGGTTTGTCGTGCTTGGGGAGCTGCATCAGAACATATTTTTCTAGGACTGTAACGGAGGTGTTATCAAAGGTATTGTAAACAAGACTGTTCTTTGATAAGATATTTGGGCAGAAGAAATTTTAAAAAACGATCCTTTTGTTTTCTTCTGGCCTCCTGTTGATCTTGCATGATTCTCGGAGAGGTCGCCGGAATGAAAGACATCAATCGTCCATTTTGCTTAAAACGACCGAACAATTCTGCATTAGTTGGACATCGCTCTAGTCTCTATCTGCCCTTCATTAAATGCCTCGCTTATCATCCCTAAACGGGAGACAAGTATCGTACTTGAGTTACGGTCATAATCGAGCCCAAAATTTCTCGTGCTGAGAGAATCATTTTGTCAAATGAGTTTTGTCCCATTTTACGACCGTTCTCGCCACATTTGTCAAGGGATCACTGCAGTTGGTTAAGTTAGCAACACGTTAAGTGAATCTGGCTTCCCCGTTGACATTGCTCCTCAGAAGGTTGCAAAGGGGGATCATGTGACCCCGGGATACTGAGACGATCATAAATATGAACCAGTTGTCCAGCATCCGAATGTAAATTACGTGACCATGGGGATGATGCAACGGTCGTAAGTCTGAAAAATGTCCATCACTCACTTTTTTTCAGTGCCGTTGTAACTTCAGTCACTAAATGACTGAATGGTCACTGTTGTAAGTCAAGGACATGCACAGTCTTCTATCCATATATAGGAGGTGAATGGTCCAAGGTTTAGCAATTAACCAAATATCTAACGATATCAATAACTTAGCAATAGCAATAACACTTAGACTTATAAACCGCTTCATCGTGTTTTTATGGCCCTCTCTAAGCGGTTTACAGAGTCAGCATATTTGCCCCCAACAATCTGGGTCCTCATTTTACCGACCTTAGAAGGACGGTAGGCTGAGTCAACCTTGAGCCGGTCAAGATCGAACTCCTGACAGTGGGCAGAGTCAGCCTGCAATACTTCATTCTAACCACTGCGCCACCAATTCACCACGTAAACCTATTATTGCAAATTAATGTAGGAAGGCGCTTTTTTCTCTTCGTCTCTTCCAGGGTAAAACGTTCAGCATATGGCACCTGAACGACCTGCGTGACTTCAGCAGGTCCGTCTCTCTCTTCTTGTTTGGGGACGTTCACAAAGAGCACTGGAAGACAAATCAAGGCATGGTTGTAGGCCTCCTCAACGCTAACCAGATGAAACCCAAGGAAGGATCAGAGGAGGTATGGATAGAGGTTGCGGCAGAAGGCCTCTCGATCTTTACCTCAACAAACACCTCATAACCATTTTCTGTAATGTAAGGTGTGGATGGATTTTCATGGTGGGAGAAGAAAAGGAGAAATCTGTGTGAGCTTCTCTTAGGTTTCTGAGGGGTTCTCGACTCGGGAACCAGTCCTGAAGTGAAATAGGAGAACTCGCTCTCCTGTTGGCTATCATCCTTGGTCTGAAGGCCAGAAGAAAGTTCTCTGAACAGTGTTGAGGAGCAATTGGCCTGTCTCTTAGGAGAGGACCTTCTTGAGAGGGCCCTTCCACTCACAAACTCTTCCATGCCCAGAACAGATTGTGATCCTGACACAGTTTGAGTGTTTGGAGTTGTCTGCAGAACAAAAATAAAGTTGAATGAAGGGAAATCTATGTGTCCCAGGAAAATGCTGCAGGATCCAATCTGGGTCGAGAGGTTTTGTCTTACGGACTTCTGGAGCCATCTTCAAGGAACTTCTCTCTAGCAGAGTGTTTGCTGTTCTGTGTGTGGTATTTATATGGTGCTTTTTAGTTGTCGATTGGGGTGTTGATGGCCAACTATTAAATTGTTGGCTTAATGTTGCCAAACTCTCACCTTCTAAGTACTTGATCAGCTGGTGGTAAATCAGCACTCCTGTTGACTGACAGGGAGCCTGTTTCCATCATTTCCCTGACTGTTTTTGTCCCTGCCCGTCCAACAATCTTACTTAGCTGCAAAATTGAATGTGTGTCCTTGTTCATTGCGCTCTGCTGAAGATGAGCTCCAGCACAAATCCCAAAGCTCAGAAGACAAAACCTCTGGTCCCGGTGACCAACCCAGCTCGGATCCTGAAAAACAAAGCTGGTTTGTTCCAGATAAAGATTGAAACATGGTTGTTCTTGCACCGGCGTTTGTGGGAGAAGTGAAGAGTAGGAGAAACATCTCAGTAGCTGCTGAACATCAGAATCATTTTAGCGGAATTAAATCTTCCTCGTCGGGCCGCCACGAAGCCTTTTGTGTAGGAAAATCAAAGCTCCTTTTCCCAAGAAACTAAGCCACAATATTTGCGTTCCTCCCGCCACGAAAAATGTGATTAAACGGCTGAGAAAATATCTGCTTGATAAGGGCCCTTAATCTGTAACAACGTTGGATATAAATCCGTTCAGCTTCCTGAAAGCCGAAAGCTGCCTCCCTCTTTCTCCTCAGGTGTCTCTATCCGTCGATCATCCTCAAAAGATCCTGATTTTGGGGGAAGCCATGGACTTGGGGACTTGTAAAGCGAGGAAGAAAAATGGAGAGCCCTGTACTCAGATAGTTAATCAGGTAAAAAGGGTGTTTGGGCTCCCAGGTTTTCATACAGGTAGATATTAATTACCTGCAAATTACAGTTGGGGGGGGGATCATGAAATCATTTAAAAATAAATGATAACCACAGATAGCCAAGTACTGAGTTCTCTCTCACTACAAATTTCATTTATTAAAATAATCCAGGGACTCCTCGACTTAACGACCACACATTGAGCCCAGTCTTTCTGTTGCTAAGGGAGACAGTTGTTAAGTGACTTTTGCCCCATTTTATGACCTTTCTTTCCACGGTCGTTAAATGAATCGCTGCAACTGACAAGTTAGTCACCCGGTTGTTGAGCGAATCTGGCTTCCCCGTCGACTTTGCTTGTCAAAAGGTCGCAAAGGGGGATCACGTGACACCCCCCTTTTCCCCTCCCCCGGGAGACCCTACAACCGTCATAAATACGAGTCAGTGGCCAAACTTCTGAATCACGTGACTGCAGGTATGCGGTCATAAGTGTGAAAAACGGTCTTAAGTCCCTGTTTTCAGCGCTGTCGGAACTTCAAACGGTCACTGAACAAATGGTTGTAAGTTGAGAACCGCCTGTAAAAACGGGATATAAATTAATACTGAATAAATAACTTTCCTCTGCCCACTTTAAAGGGCATGTTCAACCTCTAAGGGGAATCCTGGCTAGCTGCAAATGGAGTTTATCTATTTATTTACTATTTATATTATTATATAATTAATTTATATTATATTATTTTTATACCTTACGATTCTTGAGGAACGTGTCTTTTCTTTTATGTACACTGAGAGCGAATGCACCAAAGACAAATTCCTTGTGTGTCCAATCACACTTGGCCAATAAAGAATTCTATTCTATTCTATTCCATTCCATTCTCATTTTCTGTATTCTACTATTCTATTCTACTCTACTCTACTCTACTCTATTTTCTTTTCTATTCTATTCTATTCTATTCTATTCTATTCTGAGAGCGTAGGCACCAAAGACAAATTCCTTGTGTGTCCAATCATACTTGGCCAATAAAGAATTCTATTCGATTCTATTCTATTCCATTCCATTCTCATTTTCTATATTCTACTACTCTACTCTTCTCTATTCTCTATTCTATTCTATTCTATTCTATTCTATTCTATTCTATTCTATTCTATTCTATTCTATTCTGAAAGTGTAGGCATCAAAGACAAATTCCTTGTGTGTCCAATCACACTTGGCCAATAAAGAATTCCCATTCAATTCTATTTTTTTAAAAAAATATTATTTTTGATCAGCGTCTCAGTTTCACGGACTTAATTGGTGTCTCCCGTTTCAGAGCGAGTGTGAGTATTGTCAGTATCACATACAATCTGAGTATCGAAAACGGAGCTCGAAGAGGGCAGACCTGCAGTCTACTTTCTCCACCACCCGGGCACCGAAACGGTCAGCCAAGCGGAACCTCGGCTTGAAAGAGAAGCTCTGCCAAGATGGTTTTTACTACGGAGGAGTTTCCTCTGCGGCTTACGCTGCCTCCGTGTAAGAAAATGCTCCTCTGTCCTTTTTAAGGGTGATCTGATCCCCAGAGTTTGCTTATCCAGATCTTGGTTTAATTAGATTAACAGAGTCAGAAGGGACCTTGGAGGTCTTCTAGTCCAACATTTCAGACAAGTGTCTATCTAGTCTCTTTTTAAAAGCCTCCAGTGATGGAGCATCCATAACTTCTGGTGGCAAGCTGTTCCACTGGTTAATTGTCCTCACCGTTAGGGCGTTTCTTCTTAGTTCCAGGTTGCTTCTCTCCTTGATAAGTTTCCATCCGTTGCTTCTTGTCCTCTGGTGCTTTGGATAATAATTTGACCCCCTCTTCTTTATGGCAGTCCTTCGGATACTGAAAGACAGCTATCATGTCAGAATACAAAATTACAGTGTTGGAAGGGACCTTGGAGGTCTTCTAGTCCAACCCCTTGCTCAGGCAGGAGACCTTGTACCATTTCAGACAAATGGTTGTCCACTCTCTTCTTAAAGAACTCCAGTGATGGAGCAACCACAACTTCTGGAGGGAAGTCATTCCGTTGATTAATGTTCTCATTAATCAGGAAATTTCTCCTTAGTTCTAGGTTGCTTCTCTCCTTGATTAGTTTCCATCCGTTGCTTCTTGTCCTGCCTTTCAGGTGCTTTGGAGAATAGGCGGACCCCTTCTTCTTGGGGCAGCTCCTCAAATATTGCAACTCTGCTACCATGTCACTCCTGGTCTTTCTTTTCATTAGATTAGACATGAAAAGAAGGACGAGGGGTAACATGTCAATATCTAAGGGACTGCCATAAAGATTAGAGTAGCTGGATGGAAACCGATCAAGGAGAGACTCAAGCTAGAACTTTTCCTTCCATAAAATCAGAATTAATTGTAATGTTTTAAACAGAGACGTGTGGGTTTGATTTCCAGGCCTTGAGTTGTGTTCTTGTGTCCCCCACTTCAGGGCCGCAGCTGCCATTCCCAAAAAGAAAGTCCAAACGACGTTGACAAATTTAGTTGTGAGAGGAGTGGATGCGATTCTGCAGGAAACCAAAGAAAAATTGGGTAACTTCTCCTTCCGTTTCCTGTCTTGGATAGGCCAGGTTCTTTCAGCCTGGTTCTTTCCCAAAGAGGTAGTCCTCGATTTATACGACCACAGTTGAGGCCAAAATTTCCGTTGCTAAGCAGGGTGGATAAAAATAATGATTTTTTTAAAAAAAAAAATCAAAAAAATCAGATTTTTTTTATTTAAATCGGATTTTTTTTGATTTTTATCGAATTTATTTTAATAAAAAACTTTTGGGGTAAAAATCTATCGTAAGATAGTTTTCTATTTAAGATACATAAACAATTTAGTTTGTTCAGCATGAAATGGAGCTTAGTTATGTAGCAGGAGGCTGTATATTCTGCAACACTGGGACTATCAGTGAGTCAACAGTGGGTCAAAGGAGAAGCAGAGATGACAGTTGCTCTTTAAAAATTATGATTAAAATCGAGTTAATTTAAATCAAGCCTTTTTACTAGGGATTTAAATCATGATTTAAATTGTGATTTAAATCAACTCGATTTAAATCAAATCCACCCTGTTGCTAAGCAAGACAATTGTTAACGGAGCTTTGCCCCGTTTTACAACCTTCCTTGCTGGAGTTGTTAATGGAATCTGGCGTCTCCGTAGACTTTGCTCACAAAAGGAGATCACCTGACCCAGGGACACTGCAACTGTCATAAGTACATGCCAGTGGCCAAGTCTCCAAATTTGGATCACGTGGCTACGGGGGATGCTGCAACGGAAGTTTTGAAATTTCGCATTTTACAGTGCCATTGTAACTTCGGACGGTCTCTAAATGAAGTGTGGTAAGTCGAGGACTACCTGAAATTGAAGTTGAAGAGCTTCCTCCATCTCATCTGTGGTTCCATTTTAGGTCTTGGAAAGCCACCCTGTTCAGAAGAATTCAAGGAACTCTTGGCGATGCCTTCGTCTGGAGCCCGGAACCTCAATAAACACTTCACCCAAGGTGGGGCATCAGGAACGTCGGAAAGGAACATGGGATACATGCTGGCTTGTTGGTTTGAGAAGAGCTGTCACAGATTCTCGGTTATCCAGGTCATGGTTGTCCCAAAGGGGCTTTTCTAAAAAGGACACCGTTCTTTCTTGGTTTTCTTTGAAGATATTTCACTTCTCATCCAAGAAGAAGCTGCTCCTTCTTCTTCTTCTTCTTCTTCTTCTTCTCCTCCTCCTCCTCTCCCTCCCACTTCTACCCTCCTCTCCTCTAAATCTTCTTGGATGAGAAACAAAACGTCTTCAAGGAAAATCAAAGACTAGTTGACTAGGAATAGCAACTTTCGGATGTCACATCTTCAGTTTTCTCTCTCCTTTCTTTCTTTCTATCTTCTCTCTTCTTTCTTCCTTCTTTTTCTCTCTCCTTTCTCTCTTTTCTTTCTTTCTTCCTTCCTTCTCTTTCTTCTCTCTTTCTATCTTTTCTTTCTTTCTTTTCTTTCTTCTCTCTCTTTTTTCTTTCTATCTTCTCTCTCTTTCTTCCTTCTCTTTCTCTCTCCTTTCTCTTCTTTTCTTTCTTCCTTCCTTCTCTCTCTCTCTCTTCTCTTTCTTTCTTCTCTTTCTCTTTCTTTCTTTCTATCTTCTCTCTCCTTTCTTCCTTTTCTTTCTCTCTCCTTTCTCTCTTTCCTTCCTTCTTTCCTTCCCTCCCTCTCTCTCTTTCTTTCTTTCTTTCATTTTCAGGATCTACAGGGAAGCCAACCTCAGTTATCCACTCCATCTCTCCTTCAGCTTTGCTGAAGCTACAGAAACAACAAATGTTGGCGGCCCGGAAACGAAGATCTGATGAAATCCAGAGAAGGTAACAACACTTTTTCCATTTTGTTCTGTAGGAACACATGGCTTAATGGTCCTATTTTTATTTTATTTTTTTAGTCCTTGACTTACAACCATTTGTTTAGTGGCGACTATTCGATGTTGCAACAGCACTGAGAAATGTGCAGCATCCCCATGATCGCTTGATCAGAATTCAGTTTTGAACAACTTTATGAAATGTTAAAGATTCCCCTCGCACATGTGTGCTAGTCGTTTCCGACTCTAGGGGGCGGTGCTCATCTCCGTTTCAAAGCCGAAGAGCCAGCGCTGTCCGAAGACGTCTCCGTGGTCATGTGGCCAGCATGACTTAATGCCAAAGGCTCACGGAACACTGTTACCTTCCCACCAAAGGTGGTCCCTGTTTTTCTACTTGCATTTTTCTACGTGCTTTCGAACTGCTAGGTTGGCAGAAGCTGGGACAAGTCATGGGAGCTCACCCCGTTATGCGGCACTAGGGATTCGAACTGCTGAACTGCCGACCTTTCGATCGACAAGCTCAGCGTCCTAGCCACTGAGCCACTGCGTCTCTAACTTTTTTATGAAATGTTAAGTCAACCTCTTTTGGGGAGATCATCAGCTATCTCTGATGGAGCCCCCAAAAAACATTTGGACAATATATGCCATTCTCCCCAAGGTCGTGATAATAAAACATTTTGTTTCTGTGCCAGAATGGTCTGCCTCAGGAGCATTGTGTTTTTTCCAGAAGGAGAAGTTGTGGCACATTCCAGAAAAAGAACACCATATTCCAGAACGCACCGGAATGTTCTCTCTTTCAGACTTTATATATACACAGCTAAGGAGCTTTACTGAACAAGCCCTCAGCCATTGTTTTCACAGGAGCCACATCAATGATTCTGACGTAAATTTTAAAATGTTTTGTTTCCTCTCCGGCTCGTTGAGATCAAAGTGATTTCATCAGGCTCCATCGATTCGCATGTTTTATGCAGGATTTGTTTTTATTTGAGGAAAGATCTGCTGATTTTTAATTTCTAATTCGTTCCTAAATGGAGTTTTAGTTCTCCCATTTTTGCCACCACTTGAGCTGATCTTCCTTTTCTATTTTATTTTATTTTATTTTATTTTTTATTTTTATTTTTTTTATTTTTTTATTTTATTTTATTATTTTATTTTTATTTTTTATTTTATTTATTTTATTTTATTTTATTTTATTTTATTGAAAAGACTGTCAGGATAAGAATGCAAATAAGGCAGAGCCAGAGAGAAATCAATGGCAAATCTTAACATGCAAGCTAATAACTATAACTGTGCTATGTTAAGAGTAATTACAGTAATACAACTAAAAAAAGAGAGAAAATAAAAGAAAACTTCAACTAAATTTCTATTTACATCAGCTTATTTACAAATGTTTCCATATTATATCCATAGTTTTATACATTTTTGTTGTACAGACATTTATAAACTTCCCTCTCATTTCTACTTCTTGTCTTTATCCATTCATAAAATTTATTCCATGCCCTTTAATATTTCGAGTCTTCTTTATCTTTAATTTTTACAGATCTGTCCATTTCAACCCAATCCCAAATTTTCCTAATTATGTCATCCTCTGATGATCTCGGATATTGATCCACTTTCTTTGTGTTGATAGCAGGGTGGATTTGATTTAAATCGAGTTGATTTAAATCATGATTTAAATCACTAGTAAAAAGGCTTGATTTAAATCAACTCGATTTAAATCATAATTGTTAAAGAGCAACTGTTATCTCTGCTACTCCTTTGACCCACTGTTGACTCACCGATAGTCCCAGTGTTGCAGAATATACAGCCTCATGCTACATAACTAAGCTCCATTCATGCTGAATAAACTAAATTATTTATGTATCTTAAATAGAAAACTATCTTATGATAGATTTTTACCCCAAAAGTTTTTTATTAAAATAAATTGGATAAAAATCAAAAAAATCCGATTTAAATCAAAAAATTTTGATTTTTTAAAAAAAAATCATTGATTTTTATCCACCCTGGTTGATAGGTTTCGTTTCAAGGCTGCCTTACCTAACTAGGGGGGGAAATGCAATGTGGATTTTGTTAACAGAGGCTGGTTCCATCAGCCATTCTCAACCATGCAAACCAGAAGGGTTTATTATGTGGAGTTGCTTAGAAAATGACATCTATGGGAAGCTTGCCAGATTCTTCTATCAAACTTAATTGTCTTTAAAATAAAATATGTACAGGCAGTTCTCGCCACAATGATCATAAAATGGGTCACACATGAAATTTTACGAACCTGATTTTACAATCTTTTTTTGGCAGCCATTGTTAAGTGAACGCCATGGTCGTTAATCAAACCAATAGTATATAAGCGCTGGTTTTCAGCAAAACCAGCGTAAAATGCAGCCACGTGTTTGGTAAACAGGCATCCGTGCAACCCTATACAAATGTGCAACTCTATACAAACCCCGTGCAAACGTGGTTGCTGAGTGACCCACGTTTGATCATGTGACCCCTGGGGGGGGCAACGGTCGGATCTCTGAATCCGAGCGGTAAATAGCCTCCCTATAGGTCTGTCGTAACTTTGAACGGTTGTTAAGCAGCCAGTCATAAGTCGAGGACCCCCTGCATAGAAAACTATGTTAATGATGAAATTTGAAAAAGCTGGCTGGGTGTTGTATTTTCGTTTTGTTAAAATAATTTGCAAAAAAACAAAACAAAAAAGGCTCGGAGAATAAGAAATTAATTGAAGCAGAAAATGAGTACCCTGTTTCCCCCAAAATAAGACATTCCCCTGATAATAAGCCCAATCAGGCTTTTGAGCGCATGGCAATAAGGCCAAGCGCTTATTTCAGGGTTCAAAAAAATATAAGGCAGGGGTCTTATTTTCCGGGAAACACTGTAGAATAGAATAGAATAAATATTGGAATGAAGAATAGAGTTAGGATAGGATAGGATAGGATAGGATAGGATAGGATAGGATAGGATAGGATAGGATAGGATAGGATAGGATAGGATAGGATAGATTAGAATATAGAAATATAATAGAACAGAACAGAATAATACTTTGGCCAAGTGTGATTAGACAAACAAGGAATTTGTCTCCAGTGCATAACCTCTCTGTACATACAAGTGATAAATCATGTTCGTTGTCATCATAAAAATACATTCATCATAAATCATAAGATACAATGCTTAGTGTTATAGGATGCTAAATAAGCAATCAACATAAATCATACTGGGATACTAAATAAAACAATATAAATCTTAAGGTACAAGCAACAAAGTCCTAGCCATAAGAAGATAAGGAGATAGGAAAAATGGGAAGGAGAATAGTAACAGAGCCTTACTAGATAGTTTGACAGCGTTGTGGGAATGAGTTGTTTGGGGGAGGGGGACGACGACTAAGGGTCTGATCCAGGATTTGGCAACTCATCAACAAACAAACCACCATCACTTCCCGAGAAATGCTAAAAACAGACATTGGAGCAGATGCTTCCTGGAGTTTATCTCCTTCACTCAAAACTATAATTTTTATTTTCACCACTTTGTTGCAGATTTCTTCAGGACCCTGCTGTTAAAAAGACCCCAGTCTCTTCTGTGGGGCAGGCTGTGCTGCAGTCCCCAACTCCAGCGTCCGAGTTTCCTAAAGCTGGACAACTGTCCAGCCCCCAGACCCCCAGACTTGGTTCGGGTCTCTCTGAAGGGGACGACGTTCTCTTCTTTGACGATTGCCCCACTCCGGCCCCCAAACTGAGCCGCTTGGCAGAAGCCAAAAAGGTAACGGAGACCCCCAACTCATAATTCCTTTATGTGCAAAAAGGCAGGATATAAAATGAAGCCGTTTCTTTATATCTATATATCTATATATCTAAAAGTGAAAACCACTCACGCCGTAATCACGAAATCTCTAGAACCGTAAAGCCTACAAACTTGAAATTTGGCACATATGTTCTTCTTGGCTTCTAGGTGCTCACTAAGAAAGGATTTTTCGAAATGATCATCAGATCATTAGTATTTCTTGTATTATTATTATTATTATTATTATTATTATTATTATTATTATTATTATTTAATCTTTAGTGAGATTCACAGCCTTTGAGGCTGGTTAATAGCTCAGGAGCTCGAGTCCTAACCAAGGACCTAGGAACTGTTAAGGTATCGTCGGAGGATGTAAGCTGTTCCGAGTAAGGTGGTTTTTTTGTAGAGTCAAAATGTTCAAGTCTGGCAAATTTAGAATTTCTAAATAGCGGAGTAGCCCTTTGGGTATTGCTCCGAGGGCTCCAATTACAATCGGGACAACACACGATTTCTTTTTCCACAATCGCTCAACTTCAATTTTGTAATTTTTTCTTGCTGCTTATCTTCAATCCGTGCATCACCAGGTATTGCAATGTCAATGAACCATACTTTTTTCTTTTCAACTATTGTTATGTCAGGTGTGTTGTGGACCATAACAATAGTTGAAAAGAAAAAAGTATGGTTCATTGACATTGCAATTATTATTATTATTATTATTATTATTATTATTATTATTATTATTAACATGCTCTGAGGGAGAGAAAGGGATAAAATAGGAGAGGCTTCTGTGGGGAAAGCCTGAGGGAAAGAAGGGGAGAGGAGAATTTTCAAGCTGTAAGTGTCGATTTATCAAGCTCGATCACATAGTACATTAACTTGTACATTAAAGTACAAGTTAGCATAAAGAGGAAACGGAGGAGGAGAATAACAGCTGCCAACGGCAACCAAATAATCCATCAAATATATAACAAAAGTAACCTCCAATTTATTTCAAGTAGACAAGGAGAAATACAATATATATAACAATCTTTCTTTAATTTACATAAATAATATTTAAAACCTCTGAAAATCATAAATAGTCTTTAAAAAAATCAATACTTATATTCTTTGCTTAATTTTAATTATTAGAGTGAAGGATGAATTGGTTTATAGGTTAGTCCTTTTAAGATCTTGATTCCCAGCGCTGCGTGCTAACCTTTTTTTTTTTAGCTATTTTGATAAACTTTCTGCCAATTCTCCAAATTCATTTTGAATGACATTGGTACATATTAATTGGGGTTCCTTCTAGAATCCCCCCCAAATTTCAACTTGAAAAACGGATGGAGAATTGGATGCTAAATGGTATAAAACCTTTTTTCTCGTTTTTCTTTTTTCTTTTGTTCAGAGGGAAAAAACATAAGATGCGTGGCGTGATAAGACGCTTTGGGTGATTTAAATTTCTTGTTATAACCTATGATCTCGCAGATTTAACTTGTGGGGAAAAATCTGTGACTGTTGGACGTGTATAACTTTTTAGAAGTTACGGTTTCTGAAAGGCCTTGTTCCATCGGTGTTCGGGATGTAACTTCCTTTTGTCGTGCTGTCTTTTCGCAAGAGATTTGACTGTTTCTAATGGCTTTCTTTCAGATGGCAGCGATAAAGAAACTGCGCGCAAAAGGCCAGATCCTTTCCAAAGTAGATCCCAACAGCGTCAAACGGAAACGATCAGATTTTGACGTTCCAGGGATTTTTGAAAGAGTGGAGCAAAATATCGCCGATTCAGAAGGTGCGGAAAACCCTAGATCCGATGACGGTTATCCTTTTGTTTGTCTATTTACAAGGGGGTCCTTGACTTACAGCTACAACTGTAATTCCTGTTGCTAAACGAGACATTTGTTAAGTGAGATTGATAGATAAATAGATTGATAGATAAATAGATTGATAGATAAATTGATAGATAGATAGATAGATAGATAGATGAGAGAGAGAGAGATAAAATATGTCATAGTTTAACAAGTTAAACAGATCCTCGAAACAATTAAGACTGGCTAATTAAAGGAATCTTCTTGCCCAGCTACACTACTTGAATTTGTGTTTGTGTATTTCTGCAGAGGGGGGAATATTAGAGCCCGTCGAAAAGAAACGGCGCCAGCAGCTTGAATACCTGGAATCGGAGGAGTTTCAGGAGATCCTGAATGCTCGCTCAAAACACAACGGTGTCCTTAAGGAGGTGAGCCCCGTCCTACGTAAAACCGTTTGGAGAGCGGCCAAGAATCCGTCAAGGAACTGACGAAGCCAAATCGTGGCTGTGCTTACGGTCTTGGCATCCGTTTTCCTTTTGTGTTTACGGACTGACTTGCAAAAGCCATAAACAATCATCAAAGCACTTTTAAATTTGGAAGATTGGATCGTAAAGGTATTTTTTTTTTCGTCACCGTTGTAACTGGAATGGCTGTGAAAAGTTGCTAAACGAGGATGGACTCTATTGGGCAATTTGGAAGGGTACAACTCTAACTTTAAAAAAAAAAAACCTGGTGATCCAATTTGAATGAATTTTACAGTAGAACTTGGGGTGCTGGTTATAAAGCTATCCTTAAACCCTGGGTTGCGGGTAAAGTAGGAAGTAAGAGTCCTACCTATCAATGGGTGGAAAAAAACCATTAAAGTGATTTTAAGTATGTTAAGCTAGAAATTTTCCCAGTTTTCTTTTTGACAGACAGGACTTTCCATCCAAACTTGGCATATCTCAAGGAAATTTGCACACTGGTTTGTGTGTTTATGACCCGGTTTTGAGACAGTGATTGTACTCCAGGGTTTAAATACAGGTCCTCGTTTAGCGACTGCCTCAGCAATGCCATAATGCTGAAGCAAAAGTAACTTTCCAATGGCTTTTTACATCCAAGCAGTCCTCAAATTAAAAACCTTCCCAGGTCCGTAAAACAAAGAAAAGCTGAAAGATTTTCTGCTACATGCATCTTAAACGTTTAGGCAAAGATTTTAATAATCATGGTTTCTAAATATACTTTCTTATTCAGGTTCTTGAGCAACTCCTTGTTTGGAAAAAATAATAAAAATAACTTTCTCCCCAAGGCATTTGAGCTAGGATGTTTGGAGTCTGATGCTGGCATTTTGTTTGGGGAGTTTCCTGTTTTAACTAAGGGGTTCCGATGATGTGGGGTGGTTTTAATTTTTGTATCCTTAACAGTATCAGTGAAATGGGGAAGGAAGGAAGGAAGGAAGGAAGGAAGGGTTAAGGTAATGATGATTTAACAGGTGACCAGCTGCTGTAAGGCTGGGTTGTCTCAAACTAGCAATCACACTGTAAACACTCTGACAGGAAAGATGGAAGGAAGGAAGGAAATTTGTCTTCAGCATAACTCATGTTATTTATACCAGTTATTTTACATGGCAAAATTAAAACTTTATCATCTCCAGTTCAATCTCTCTCTCTCATTCCCATATCACAGTTTGAGGCTGAGATGCAGGAAAGGTACTTCGAGCCCTTGGTGAAAAAAGAACAAATGGAAGACAAGATGAGGAGCATCCGAGAAATGAAATGCCGTGTGGCAACTTGCAAAACGGTAGGCCAACTGGAGAGGGAAGGAGGAAAGAAGGAAAGAAAGAGAGAGAGAGAGAGAGAGAGAGAGAGAGAGAGAGAGAGAGAGAGAGAGAGAGAGAAAGAAAAAAAGAAAAAGGAGGAAGGGAAAAAAGAGGAAGGATTATGACTTCCACCTTTCTTCTATTGAGTAATTATCCTTTTATTCTTCCCACTTCTTCTTTGACCCTTTTTAATCCCCAGACTCATAAATAATCAGTCCCTTTTCAACAAAAAGTCCCTATATAATTGTTCCAGTCTTCTAGAAGAGTCTTTATTATTTTTTCCTTCACCAAACTGGTTAGCTTGCCTGTTTCTTCAACCCCCATACATTTTTTTCTAATCCAATCCTCTATTCTAGGTATTTCATTATTCTTCCATCTTGGCGGATACAATAATTTCGCCACAGTTGTCACATGCATCTATTTTTTTTTCCTCAAACTGCGTCTCTTCTTTTTCTCTTTTTCACCCGTGAAGTGCAACTACACCTATTTCAAACTGCTGGATTCGTGCGTGGCGGAAGGTCACGCTTACCACTGGCACAACGGGATGAAGAGATTTTTCAAGTGTGCCTGCGGGAACAGAGCCATTTCCCTGGACAAGCTCCCCAAAAAACACTGCAGGTATGCGAAGTGGAGGGGGGGGTATCTTCCTTTTTGTTGTGGCCCGCTGGCAGCCCGGAGAGCTGGCAGCAGAGTTGGACAATGAGGAGGTTGGAGAGGAACTTGGGCCAGCTCTGGGGGCTGGGGAAAGCTCGGACGAGGGCTCTGCATCAGAGGCAGAGAGGGAGATAGACGGCAGCGAGGCAGATGAACAGCTTGAGCCCGTTCCCAGTGTGTGCATGCGCAGAGCTGCCAGAAGACAAGAACAATTAAGAAAGCAGGGTCGACTCGGGAATAAGGCCACACATAATTGGCCCCTCCCACAGGACATAAAAGAGGAGCGAACGAGACGTGGGCTTTTGCAGGAAGCGATTAGTTCATTTGGTTGATTCAAGGTTGGAAAGTTCTGTTCATGACTCTAATAGACTCTGTGCCAAGTTTGGCCTTGCCCTGCGTTTGGAAATTGGTTCTCTGGCAGCGTTCCAAGGGAGATGCGGTGGGTGTTGATAAGCATTCCTCTGGAAGACTGTTTGCCAAAGCCTTGTTGACTGTGAATGACCGTAATTCATAGTCGTTTAAATAAAAGAAGTTTGGGCGGAATTAAGACTTCGCTTCATGCTTCCTAAGGAAGACTAGATCAGAACAACTTCTGTTTGCAACCCCTGAAAAATAACTTATTCTGGATGGAATATTTTCCGTCAATTGGGGTGCCCCTTGTCCAGTCTCTTAAACTAAAGCACGATGGGGGGAGGGGGGGAAACACCAGGGCATCATTTTTAGCACCAGACTTTCTATCAACGATCTTGGCTTTGTCCTATTATGATGATGATGATGATGATGATGATGATGATGATGATGATGATGACACGAAATGAATCTTGATGATTATTATTTTTTCTGCCTTCTTCCTCTTTCAGTAATTGTGGCCTCTTTAAATGGGAACGTGATGGAATGCTCAAGGTAAGAGTCGGCCAAAGGTTTGCTACCAAAATTGGATTAGAAAGGAAGTCCTGTGTAGGGTCCTTGGTATTCTCTATGAGCTTGGTGATTTTCTTGCAGATGTTTCATTACCAAACTAGGTAGTATTGTCAGGGCTAGAACGGGTGGGATTCTAGCACTGATGATGTAGTTGGGTAATAAAATGTCTAAAAGAAAACCACCAAATTCAGAGAGCACAAGGACCCACACAGTCCTCCTCCTCTTCCTCCTCCTCCTCTTCCTCCTCCTCCTCTTCCTCCTGTCCACACCCCTCTCCCTTCTAGCACTGATGATATTAGCTAGTTGGGTCATGAAATGTCTGCAAGAAAACCATCAAACTCAGAGAGCACCAAGGATCCCCCAGTCCTCCTTCTCCTTGCAAACTCCACCCCTTTATAGCACTGATGAAGTTACCTACTTGGGTCATGAAATGTCTGCAAGGAAACCTCCAAGCTCAGGGAGCACCAGGGACCCCACAGTCGTTGTCGTCATCCTTCTCCCCCTACCTACCCCTCTCCCTTCTAGCACTGATGATGTTACCTAGTTTGGTAATAAAACATCTGCAAGAAAACCACCAAGTTCAGAGAGCACCAAGGACCCCCACAGTTCATCCCTGGGCCACAAATAGTCTCTTGTATAAGAAGCCTTAGCTTTGAAGATTATTTTATGCGCTCAGAAAAATCCAGACATTAAAAGTCTGAAGTTCGTGGCCTGAAAATTCCAAGGAAGTAACTTCAGAGAGATTTCATAAAAAAATATTTTGAATTGGAATTGCATTTGGGTGGGATTGTTGTTAGAAGCTAACTTGTCCTGAGAAGACCTGTGTGACACCATCCCTGTATCTACAGTTAATTATGGGCTAATGGATTGAATTATCCATTAAGAATAATGGATTTGAATTAAGAGCCTGTAGTACAGTGGACTAAAGCACTGTTATTAACATCTTATTAACATCTGCTGCTTTCAATTACTGCAAGTTCAAATCTCCCCAGGCTCAAGGTTGACTCAGCCTTCCATCCTTTCTAAGGTAGGTGAAATGAGGACCCAGATTGTGGGGGCAATAAGCTGACTTTGTATAAATATACAAAAGGATGAAGGCTATTGCTTAACGCATTGTAAGCCGCCCTGAGTCTCCGGAGAAGGGCGGCATATAAATTAAAGCAAAAAATAAATAAATAAAAAATTATGGGTTAATGGATTGATATTGGGACGCGGTGGCTCAGTGGCTAAGACACTGAGCTTGTCGATCGAAAGGTCGGCAGTTCAGCGGTTCGAATCCCTAGTGCCGTGGAACGGGGTGAGCTCCCGTGACTTGTCCCAGCTTCTGCCAACCTAGCAGTTCGAAAGCAGGTAAAAAATGCAAGTAGAAAAATAGGGACCACCTTTGGTGGGAAGGGAACAGCGTTCCGTGCGCCTTTGGCGTTGAGTCATGCTGGCCACATGACCACGGAGACGTCTTTGGACAGCGCCGGCTCTTCGGCTTTGAAACGGAGATGAGCACCGCCCCCTAGAGTCAGGAACGACTAGCACATATGTGCGAGGGGAACCTTTACCTTTAATGGATTGAAGCTTATTTTGATGGACAGCAATGGCAGCTAACGGGACATTTCCTTTCCTAGGAGAAGAAAGGCCCCAAAATCGGGGCAGAAACTCTCCTGCCAAGAGGAGAAGAACACGCCCAGTTTCTCAACAGCATGAAATAATGGCGGATGGATCCTGCCTTTGGCTATTGAATTTCCCCTCTGGAGAACTTCAGAACTCCGTGAAGCGTTTTCACACAGCCATCTTCCTTCTATGAACGACAGTCCGATCCGAATAACTTTTTCTGTTCCTTTGAAACTTGGTAAGGATGTGGCTAATCCTTGTCCTTCATTGGATTTGGGAAGAAATGTCTTCTCGGATAGTTCGTGGTGTATTTGGAACGGAACCGCGAAGTCCATTTCTTTGGAACTTTCTCTGAGATTTTGGCAGTTCAGGATGAGGCTGAAAAAATATTGGCACTCTTGTTTTCTGAGGTTCAGTTGTAGCTGAAGAAATCCTCCGGATAGGTCTTCGCCTAAAGCAGTGTTTCTCAACCTTGGAAGCTTGAAGATGGGTGGACTTCAACTCCCAGAATCCCCCAGCCAGCAGCGCTGGCTGGGGGAATTCTGGGAATTGAAGTCCACCCATCTTCAAGCTTCCAAGGTTGAGAAACACTACCCAAAATCATTTCAGACAAACAGAAGGCATTTGATTGAGTAGACCACTCAACGAGATAGAACAATGTAGGATAGACAACACCACCAACTGATGGACAACTGATGATTCTGGGAGTTGAAGTCCACCCATCTTCAAGCTTCCAAGGTTGAGAAACACTGGCCTTGGCAGTTTTAAGACTTGTAGACTTTTAACTTCCCAGAATTCATGGCTGGCTGAGGAAATTCTGGGAGTTGAAGTCTTAAAAGTTGTCAAGGTTGGACACTCCTGTGGTTACGGCTTCATCATCCCTTGAAATAGGATGTTTTAAAAATCCTCCTTGCTTTAATGTTGGTTCATTAACAGCACACCTGTGTGACTGTTGGATTTTAACCTTAGCAACCTTGATATATGTACCCAAGTGTTTGAAAGAAGACCCTTGTGATTTTAATAAAAGCAAGAGAGCCTGTGTTTTACGAGCTTCGCTTTTTAAATTCTGTTTTAATCCAGGAAGCTAACATCTGTTTGCTGATGATGTTTCAGAAAACACACACTACAAGTTCCAGCATCCACTGCCACTATCCGCCATACTAGTAAGGGCAGCTGAATGTTGTATTTTAACATAGTTTACAAAGTTGAATCTTCAAACCCTGAAAGAGTGCATGGAGAGTTATGAAGGGCAAACAGGAAGGATTTTTTCTGGAAATAATGTTTCCAGAGGCACCCTGGGATGGGCAAAAAAGTCAACATGGCGCCTCTTAAAAAAAGGGAGACAAGGTTTTGATTACGCTGCTGAAGTTGCCCTCTTGGCTTTTTTCAACCTCTCCCTGAATGTGATAAAAGTGTGTCAAGAAATTGTGAGCTCTTCCAAATTAAGAAGAGTTGACGTGTAGGAATTGGTACTGAAACTTTGCTAGTGTTTTCTATATATTGAGACTAATTCCATTGTGGAATCATTTACGTTGATCATTTGAATAGTTTGTTGGTCGTGTGTCTTTTTTTTTCCCCATCTGTATTTCTCCGATTAATCCCTTCACTTCCGATAAATAAAATTGCCATCGATCGGCAGATCTTAGCATATGTCTACCGGAATGTTGAAATGGGCTGCAGTGGCAGTAGTAATTTTATTAGACATTTACACAACATACAACATAGAAATAACTTATCATATTTAAGCATTGTTTCATAGTGGTCTTCCAGTTATTACTTTATTCTTCTTCCCCTTTATCTTAATCTATTACTCCATCTTCTTCCCCTCCTTTTCCTTTTTTTCCCCCCTCTTTTTTTTTCCTTTTTCCCCTATAGAGAACTATCCGTTTTAGTTATCTCTTTACTATTACACATTTCTACCTTCATATTATATACATTTTTATTCCACTCCGCACATTTGATACATCTCTATTTTGTACTTCTATTTTTCTCAGTGGTTGAATTTTTAACCTGTTGTTCTTAACTATAAATGTATAAAAGTTTAAAAGGTTGGATTGGTTATCCATACCAAGACTTATTTTGCCCAATTCATTACCTGTAGCTATCAATCTTTAGAAATATATATATATATATGGACTTCAGAGCAGAGATGGGTTTCAGCAAGTTCTGACCAGTTCTGGAGAACCAGTAGTGGAAATTTTGAGTAGTTCGGAGAACTGGTAGTAAAAATTCTAACTGGCCCCGCCCCCATCTATTCTCTGCCTCCCTAGTCCCTAGCTGATTGGGAGGAAATGGGGATTTTGCAGTATCCTTCCCCTGCCATGCCACTCCCACCAAGTCATGCCACACCCACTAATCCACGCCCACAGAACTAGTAGCAAAAATTTTGAAACCCACCACAGCTTCAGAGGTGGGTTTCAGCAGGTTCTGACCAGTTCTGGAGAACCGGTAGCGGAAATTTTGAGTAGTTCGGAGAACCGGCAAATACCACCTCTGACTGGTCCCACCCCCATCTATTCTCTGCCTCCCAAGTCCCAGCTGATCGGGAGGAAATGGGGATTTTGCAGTAACCTTCCCCTGGAGTGAGGAGGGAATGGAGATTTTACAGTATCCTTCCTCTGGAGTGGGGAGGGAATGGGGATTTTGCAGTATCCTTCCCCTGCCACGCCCACAGAACCAGTAGTAAAAAAAATTTGAATCCCACCACTAATGGACTTCCAGAGTTGTTAATAAGGAGAGTTCCTGATTTCCACCAAGGCAAAACATTAAACTGACTTGCTCAATTTGATCTTATGGTGGACTCATGGTACCATCAACCATGGTCTTCTTCTAGACTGGCCTTCAAGGGTGGTAGTGTATTGTGTTAGGGCTCCTTCATAGTTCCAGTGACCAAGATAGAGGTCCTGCCCTCAGCCCAACCCTGGGGGTGCCATGGAGTTTGATGTTTTCTCCATTCCTCTGTAACCTCTAGATGAATCTGTTGGGTAAGGCCATAGGTTGGTCACTGGCAAGGGATGAGGTATCATCAGCATGCTGAAGGTATCTTTGCTTTGTGTATCTCCTGGAGTGAAGGGATCAATGCTGTTGATATCCTGCCTTGTTTCTTGGAGGCGGTGGGGCAGAGAGGAAACAAGGACTCAATCCTGACAAGGCTGAGAAACTCTGGGTGTTGGAGCCACCCAGGATCTGGGAGTTTACCGTCTTTAGTTATGAATTGTGTGGCGCTGCCCCAAACTCAGTGTGCAACCTGGGGACCTTCAAGACTCATGACTCCTGCTCAAGGAACAAGCAGTAGTTGTGGCAAGGAGGATCTTAGTCCTTTGAGGCATGGGGCCGGGATACAGAGGGACTGCCACACCCCAAATCACACCTGCTCACCCCAGAACATCCAACAGAAAGGACATATAAGTCCTATCTATGAAGGAATGAAAGTGGGGGGAGAGGGAAAGGAAGGAAATAAGGGAAAAGAGAAAGGAGAGGGAAAGGAAGGAAATAAGGGAAAGCTGAAAGGGAAGGAAGGGAAAGAAGAAAGAGGGAAGGGAGGGAAAGGAAGGAAATAGGAGAAAGGGAAGGAAGGGAAAGGAGAAAGAGGGAAGGAAGGTAGGGGAAAGTGAAAGGAAGGAAATAAGGGAAAAGAAACGGAAGGGAGAGAAAGGAGGAAGGGAGGGGAAGGGAAGGGAGGTAGGGGAAAGGGGAAGGAAGGAAATAAGGGAAAAGAGAAAGGAGAGGGAAAGGAAGGAAATAAGGGAAAGCTGAAAGGGAAGGGAGGGAAAGAAAAAAGGGAAGGGAGGGAAAGGAAGGAAATAGGAGAAAGGGAAGGAAGGGAAAGGAGAAAGAGGGAAGGAAGGTAGGGGAAAGTGAAAGGAAGGAAATAAGGGAAAAGAAACGGAAGGGAGAGAAAGGAGGAAGGGAGGGGAAGGGAAGGAAATAGGAAGGGAAGGGAGGGAGGGGAAAGGGGAAGGAAGGAAATAAGGGAAAAGAGAAAGGGGGAGAGGGAAAGGAAGGAAATAAGGGAAAGCCAAAAAGGAAGGAAGGGAAAGAAAAAAGAGGGAAGGGAGGGAAAGGAAGGAAATAGGAGAAAGGGAAGGAAGGGAAAGGAGAAAGAGGGAAGGGAGGTAGGGGAAAGTGAAAGGAAGGAAATAAGGGAAAAGAAATGGAAGGGAGGGGAAGGGAAGGAAATAGGAAGGGAAGCGAGGTAGGGGGAAGGAAGGAAATAAGGGAAAAGAGAAAGGTGGGAGGGAAAGGAGAAAGAGGGAAGGAAAGGAGGGAGGGAGGGAAAGGGAAAGGAAGGAAATAGGAGAGGGAAGGGAGGGGAAGGAAAGGAAAGGAGGAAGGGTGGGAAAGGGAAAGGAAGGAAATAAGGAAGGGAAAGGAAAGGAGAAAGAGGGAAGGGAGGGAAAGGAAAGATTTTGGAGCCTTCATCCTCATTTCTTTTTCATTACATAAAGCAAATAACTCAAGACAACTTGAATCTAGAGTTGTTTTAAACTACCATTTTATTTTTCAAAATATTCATCTAACTTTGGCCACACAATGTCAGCTGCAAAACTACAGGAGCATTTTCAAAATGTTGCTATTTTTCAATATTAACACCTGCTAGAAAGAGAATGCCAGAAGCTAAAATACATTTCATAAACAGAGAAATGGTTACAGGCTAATAAACGATATCTTTTAGCGATATCCTAAGATTCATTTGATCAGAGATCAGAATATGATGGTTTTTCAAGCATCCCTAGCAAAACGCTAATGATTATTTGGGCATTATACCTTAACGGGTCTTCTGTGAATGGAAACATGCATATTGGCAGTCTGCAGAAATTAAAGAAACAATTTGGAAAAGGTAACTTTTGAACCACCTGGCAACATGACGTCAGCTGCATTTTGTAACTCTTTAAAGCAGCCACTTCTTTATCCACTAAGGACAAAGGCAGTTCCACCATCCTGGGCAAAGATGCAGCTGCTTTCAAGAGCTGTAGATAGATGGTGCGTTTGTGATCCTTCCAATGGAAGCATTTTTTGGCAGCTGAATCCGTAGTATCGTCCAGCCTTAATCAGAGGTGGTATTGAGACGGTTCAGACCGGTTCGCCTGAACTGGTAGCAGAAATTATGGGTGGACCCACCCACCACCCCGGCTCTATGCCATCCTATTTAGGCACGTTTTTGAGGCCAGGTGCATACGCGGAAGGTGCGTGCACAAGCAAAGCGCATGCACGAAAGGCTGGGTGCATGTGTGGAAAGCAGGTGCACGCACCAAGCGAGCATTCTCGCGCAGCAAACCGGTAGTAACATAATGTGAAACACACCGCTTGTCAACTTGCAAAGCTTTCAAGTTGCCAGGAACAGGAGGGAGGGAGAACTGATGGAGCTGATTGATTTCCCTAACTGAAACTACATTCCACAGATGCCTTTCTACCCCGGTCAGTCGGAGGGTGTTGGGTTTCACAGTCAGCCAAAGTGGTTAATTGGAGAATGTGATTTATGACATGGCCAAGGAGGAGGGGAGAGAGA